ACCCCACTCGCGCTAAAATTTAGCTGAACAAACTTGAGTGAAATACAGTGCTGGCCAAAATTATAGGTCCACTCTAAAAAATGCCATAACTCACTCTGTTGTGAATGAAATTTTCCAAAATTTGGTGCAGACGTGTGCTTACCAGTCTACTATCAGTCTTCATAACTTTTCTCGTTTTCGTTTGATTATTCAAGAAAAAATTAGAAATTTTGAAAAAGCGGGCTTGAAGGCTGGCCAAAATTATAGGTCCACCTGGAGTTTTTACTGATTAAAGCACTTCTTAGCTCCCGAATTTTTTTAGGTAGGCACACATCTAAAAACGTTGTACAGCTGCTTTAGTCAAGCTGTGTCATACCTCCACAAAGGACGGATTATCTGCTTTTTTGCCTTGAAGATGCTCTCACATGTATTTCGCTCCACAAACCTGCGTTGAGTAAGAAATTTTGCAGTTTCTCAGTTGGATCGGAAGAGATGGGGTTTCATCTATCTTCTGGATGCTTTTTGACGTGAGCATTGAGGAAAAAATCCGACTTTTTGCTGCTGAAGCAAATCTGACATTGACAGTACAGCAATCCTGAGCTCAAATTTCTGCCTTCAAACTTCTTTTACAATGTTCTCAGCTTCAGAAGCATTGAGTAAAGTAAAGGCATTGTTTCTATGAACGGGAGTCCGTATACCATAGTTACAACTTTCTAGAGATCCTAGCATTCGAGTATAATTACTGAAATCATTCTGCAGAAACTGATTACGACAAGCACCAAAGCTACTTGTGGCTCCGACCAAAATTTTTAAAGAATCATGTGCTAACATACACTACAAGCTGTATCCACTATCTAGCAAATAATTACTGTCAAAAATCTAAGTGAGGTAGCGCTTGGAAAGCTATTTTGGATCGCGTAACACCATTATTACGTTGCACACACAACTCATGTTTCGAAAAAGAAGCAAGGCAGCTTTGTGGACACTTGCGAGTATGGAAAACAGCTTTATTCTCGTGTAAAAAATGCTTCTACAATATCTTGAGGCTACAATGACAATGCATAAAGGGTTTTAGGGCAGAAACTGAGGCTTACTCTGCCGATTAAGCCGATGTCAGATTTGCTTCAGCAGCAAAAAGTCGGATTTTTTCCTCAATGCTCACGTCAAAAAGCATCCAGAAGATAGATGAAACCCCATCTCTTCCGATCCAACTGAGAAACTGCAAAATTTCTTACTCAACGCAGGTTTGTGGAGCGAAATACATGTGAGAGCATCTTCAAGGCAAAAAAGCAGATAATCCGTCCTTTGTGGAGGTATGACACAGCTTGACTAAAGCAGCTGTTTAACGTTTTTGGATGTGTCCCTACCTCAGAAAATTCGGGAGCTAATAAGTGCTTTAATCAGTAAAAACTCCAGGTGGACCTATAATTTTGGCCAGCCTTCAAGCCTGCTTTTTTCAAAATTTCTAATTTTTTCTTGAATAATCAAACGAAAACGAGAACCGTTACGAAGACTGACAGTAGGCTGGTAAAGACACGTCTGTACCAAATTTTGGAAAATTTCATTAACATCAGAGTGAGTTATGGCATTTTTTAGAGTGGACCTATAATTTTGGCCAGCACTGTATAAACAAAATAAAATAATCGTAAGTAAAAATGAAAAAAAAATAAAGTAAAAAATCGATGGTACATACATTTACATTAACACAGTATATTTTGAGGTAATCATAAAGATAGATAATTTGAAAATGAAGGGTATCTTGAAATCGGTGCATTCCAATTAAGGAAGTATGGCGGTGACCAAATGATAAATCTCGAATTTTTTTTTGCTCAAAAATATATTACGTGGTATTTTTAAATGAGGAGCATGGCTAAAGTATTTTTGTATAAAGGAGCAATGTGAAGAATTTTAGGAATGTATCGAAATTTTGTCATCATAGCGCGATGGCCGAGTGGTTAAGGCGTTGGACTTAAGTTCCTATGGGCGTAAGTCCTCGTGGATTGGAACCCCACTCGCGCTAAAATTTAGCCAGAAGCAATACAGTATATCTTTAGTGCTGATGAAGCAAATAGTGAATATTAGCTGATGCACGTAGGCTGAAAGAGCGTAGTGGTGATAAGTAAAAAGTTTTCTCAACTTTAGGCTCAAAAATATCGCAGTAAACGAGGGTTTCTGCGTAAAAAAGTAAGCTAAAAAAGTGATGGGGAATGAGCGATCAGTTGCGTAATTTTTCAAACTCGAAAGTATATCACGTGGTACCTGATGCAGTCTACTGTGAAGGAGCAATGTAAAGAATTTTGTAAATGTAGCGAGATCATGTGACTGTAGCGCGATGGCCGAGTGGTTAAGGCGTTGGACTTAAGTTCCAATGGACGTAAGTCCTCGTGGGTTCGAACCCCACTCGAGCTAGAGCTTTTGCTATGGCAGGGAATGTTGGTCAATAAACGCTCATTATGATCTCTTACATATGGTGTCAGTGGAGAAGTGTTTCAGAGGTTTTTTTTGGAGAAAACACTCTAACATCGAATAACGTCAACTACGCTTTTCGTTCAACAAGAAAATTTTATTAGAAATTTTTCACAAGTGCCCCCTCAATGTCATTTTTTCTTATAAAAACGCTTCCGAACGCTGTTGTCCGGGCGGCAAATTCGAGTAAGCCGTCGGAGACGTTTGAAATTGGTTCGCCGTCGTTGAGAGGCGAATTGGGAAATTGGCAATCTTCCGCACTCCAACGACGCAATCAATCATCTCCTGAAGCAAAACTCTCCACTACGCATTGAATATTTGACTCGACCACTTCTTACCTAATAATTTTGCTATGTTTAGCTTATTTTTGCCATAACTATCCATTTTTTCGAACTTTTTCATGAATTTGTACCTGTTGAGTGGTGCAAAAAAATGGTTAGACTATAATAATGCCATGCAATCTTGCTTTCATTTTCTGCAAATGATGAAGGGTCTCAAGATTTAGAAAAACGTACAATAACCCTTGGAACTTTTGTTTCTAAGCATAATAGTTCACACAATAATGACAAATAAAAACATTTTGATTACTTCCTCTTCGTCTTCTGCTACTTGTTGAAACTATTCAAAATGCCACTAAAGATTTAGTCATCTATGTTTGCCATTTATTCTGCCATCTCAAAAAATGAATACGAGCAATCATCTTAATTTAATACAATCTTTGGCAGAACATCTCATCACTCTTCCCTCTTATCTAAGAATGTCTTTTAAACTTGAAAAATCAAATGACGCTTAGAGCCAAAAAAGACAAGGAATCCATCGGCTTACTATATTTTATTTCTCATTTTGGTTACCTACAGACACCTTCATAGGAGACAGTCTACAAATACGTCGCTTTGATTTTGTACGCACACTCTCTCTGTCCCTTTTTACGACTTTTCCACATGTTTCTTTTACCTTTTTCATGATAACAATCAGTTTAACGCGCAATGCCTAAATTGAGGAAGTAGCGAATAATGACGGAATGATGGTGGTTCACTCAAACTTATACACCCTTCGATTCAACGGGATTGGCGGCTGGAAGGCGGAGCTTGGAGGCCTAATTAAGGCTAGAGAATGCTAAGAGAGCACGCCCGCGAGAGAGACGCCGACTGCGTCGTAGGCCTGAGCGGTCATCATCCAGCCGCCAATCCCGAATTGAATCAATAACAAACTGCTTGGATATAGGAGATAAAATTTCCAGCTCTTCACGGCAAAAACCGTTCACAGAAAACGACTTTTTTGCAACTGAATCACTAACTTTCAAAGGAAAGAACGACTTGCACAGCAAGGACAGTCAAGTAAGAAATTTTAACTTTGAAAGAGCACTACGACTCAACTTATGACGGAGTGATTGATTAGCGAAAGAATAAGTACTTTGAATCAAATAATTAGGGAGCGGGTTCTACAGTATGAAACCTTTTGACGCAGAAATGATTGCTACTGTAGATTTACGAACACTGCTTTATTCGGAATCACTCAGGTAAGAAACAATAGCATTATGACGGTACTGCGCAAGATTACGGTAGCATGCGGTAAGTGCAAAAGCTTCAACCGGATACTATAGAGCGCATGAGTTCAATTCTTGTCTTCGAACCCAAAGGTTTACATCCTGCATTTAGCTAAGAAAACATGAAATAAGGCAAGCTTTTGGCCTAGAACAACTGAGCCTCGTAAAATACGCGCCTTTTAATTTACGAAAATGCTTTCCAATTTGCCATATAACCAAATAAGGACATGTCATCTTCAAAATGGCAGCGCAGCTCCCATTCATTTTTTTGTATATTGCACTTTGACATTGCTATTTTCGGTTCCCTCGACGTAAGTCTCTTGCTGTTTAACGACATAAACACAACAAAAATGGAAAAAATCGAAATAAGAGGATAGTTGAAAAAATATTATGCGGTTATAAAAAATTTTCGAGCATATAGTACAAAAAAACCATTTTAGAAAGTGATGTTTCATCTAGAGCGGCATTGCATAGATTTTCGTGCTGATCACAAAATATTTGCCAAAAAAATCTGTAGGCAAATCTCTATCTGGAGAAAATGACGATACCTATACATGTGCATAGAATTTTGCGTGGAAATTTTTCACGAGCAACTACTCCTGCCTCACCTATTTGCGTGGAAATTTTTCGTGAGCTAATTACTCCTGCCTCACCCAAATTTCTCCTCAGAAAAAATTTTAGTCGTCAATTTGAATGATCTATTAGAGAGCTTGTCTGATCTACTGATTCAGCTGGCTTGATTGCTGGAAGACGAGAGTTGGTGACCTAATGAAGGCTAGATAATAGTCAGAGAGAATGCGCGCGAGAGAGACGCAGACTGCGGTGCGTGAACGGCCTTAATTAGGTCACAAAGCTCCGCCTTCCAGTTGCCAAGCCACTTGTATCAGAGGTTGCATATCTTTTATATGGATTATGAATTCATTAGTGATTCAGGTTGATCCTCTGTCGTGGACAAAAATTGTATAATTTCAGTGAAGAAAATTCAGTCGCTCAAAGTCAACAATGTAACATGCAAATCTTCTTCATTTTGCTGCTAATTTCGCTCAATGCCTACTCCATCGATCTCACATCATCAAGAAGAAATCCTCTACAGTTACCTTCGAAAGAAGCTGCTAAACAAAAAGTGAACATTGGATTAGTCTATCAGGTACGTTAGGTAGGAATTAAGAGATTCATCTGACTTTTTGCTAAGCACAAGAAAGACGCCTTATCTACAGCTCTTATTATTTTACAAAAAGGTTGCGACTATCCCTAGAAGAACTATGTGAACTTTACCTGAAATGTATACAATAGCAAAAAAAGCTATTCGAAGTCTTCAAATTTCTAAGCTCGACATTTTGTTCAGGACGAAAGGAAAGGTGACACAAAAATCCATTGCAAGGGCCATTTTGAAGTTTTGCAAAACTTGAAAAATCGCGTCATTTTTGCTATCGAAAAGAAGTCATCTGCACAATTCTGAACTTCTTTTAGTACACTGTAAAGGCCATCCATCAGATTTTCCACTTTCAGCACTATGCGAATCGTTCAAAAGCTTACGATAAAGCATTCAAGGAAGTCATACGCAAAATCAACGATGGCACTTCCATATCGTAATCATAGATTCTGACTTGGTATCCTTTTTAGTCAAAAATGATCAATTTTCAGCTCCCTGCGGCGATTAGCATCGAAGTACACATTTGGTGCTGTGGATTGTATTCTACCAACGGGAATGTTCTTCGTCAGCGATGTGCTCAATTGCATTTGCAAAACGCTGGTAAAGAATAAGGTACAAATTAAGTTAATTAGCTTATATAGCTCCAGTGTTACTAAAAAGGTTTTCCAACGAATGCTTAGACAATTCTCGAGAAGTTCACGGTCTTAAAAAAGTTCCTTGATACATCCGTGACATGCTATATGAATTTGCACACTATGCGCAGCAAATGACGACACCTTTACTAGGAGTTCCTCAGCGAAAACATTTTCTGGCATAACAAACTGTAGAAATGCGTGCTACTAACTAATACAAATCCAACCAAATCAAAAGCGACAAGGAAATATTGAGATATTGAGGGAAAATGAGCAGGTTCCTTATCGTTCAAGTCGTCAAGCAGCGCGCATTTTGTGCAGTACGCAAACTGAGTTACAGATGACTCGACGATATATAGGGCCATGCGATCTTTGAATTTTCAGCCTGGCATTTGAAATTTCATTTTAGTGTGTCAAGGTATTGAGTCTTCGGTCTAGCGCGCCCTGGACCATGCATTTATTATCGGGCATAACGCAGCGCAAATATGGTCCCGCAAAGATCGGAAAGCAGCGGCCCTTGAAAACTATTTCGGTTACTCATGGGCAACAGAGAGCGAGCATTTTCTAAGAGCGTGTAAAGAAGCGAATTACTAAAGCAAAAAGGAGATATCTGCTTATGTGTTCTGTATTTCTTGAGCTTTTTAGTGAATCGAAAATTCTCTTTTCTATTAATCGATGTTTTATCTTGTTGAATTAATTTCCAAGGAATTATCACCCAACATTTTCCGCTAACTTCCTTAATTGTGAAAAGAAAGAATGTTTCATTTAGGAAAATGCAAGTAAATAAGAAATCCAAAGAGTAATGAAACAGGGCATCCCAGAGCAGAAAAGAGACGAGATTAAGACTAAGGGAGCAGAAACGCATCTGATAAGGTTTCTTGACCGTAATGTGTCCTTTCGACATTTTCTCACATTCTAATGGGTGCATGAAGTGCAAATCCGCACAACACAGAGAGACATATTCAGAACAGATGAGCGTAAAAGTGCATAGCCATCAGAACCTTTTACGTTGTAATGGAGATGATACGGATTTTGTTTGAAGTAGTAAAGTTATAAATAAATCTCTATGGATGAAACCTAGCAGAAAGTGCCGGTAAACTACTTTTGTGTGAAGCCATTGTATCGTCTTATCTCGACCTTTATTATCTTCAGACGTCAGCTGAAGCGCTTTCATGCGCGTGAGAAGAGTTTAGAAATCTCAATGCTAAATCTTATCTGCACATTTCATTAGGAACCTCTGCTGTCGAAAAAAATCGGAAGGAGGGGGCGGAGGGGGGGGGGGGGAGGAGAGAGAGAAAAGCGCTAAGTTTATGTTAATTGCTTTACATGGGCAGGATCATTGTAAGAGATTTTTGGCAGCAAAATTTTTTTTTGTGCAGGGCTTATTCGAGTTCTAAAATTGTTTATTGCATGCAGTGAGACGCAAAGAGAAAATGGGAGAGAAGGGATTAGAATGAATATTAGGTTGTCTCATAATTAATGCACGTTTTTCCAACCTCTTCTTGAGAAAGCTGATTTCTAAAGATAAACATTTTTCTTTGGAACCCCTTATAGTGTCGAAAAGCCCGATTCCTCTAATTTCTAACATGTGCTTTCGTTTTCGCAAATCTTTGTTCATGCCTTCAAAGACAAGTGATATATATGAAATTATTTCTCTTCACTCTCCTTGCTCTAAATCTATGAAATGTAGACGGATTTTCTCCAAAAAAATGCGTAATGATCGCGAAGCTTTGTGCTACAAAACGCTTGTCAGTTTGAGATTTTTGAAAAATTCCGAGCCGAGAAACCTTGTCTTAAACTTGGCTGGTAGCTGAGGCCCATCTAAGCCGCAGAAAAATCTTAAACGCAAAGCGACTGCTTGAATTTCGCTATGTACACATAGAGTAGACCTAGTACATCTAATGCTAGGAACGGCAGCATTTCGTCGTCTTTTCGAAGAGAAAAAATTTAAAAAATCTCAAAAAAGCAGTTTTTCGAATCTTCCAAAATACTGAAGAAAATGGGTACTTCCGGTTTTTTTGCAAAATTTTCTCACAGAAATATGCCGTAAAATTCAAAGTTCACTCCATTGCGCAGGCGACCACCGGCTATATAATGAGCAAAGTCCGCGCGATCGTAGTACATTTGAGCGAAAGTTAAGCTCTCTCAAAGTATAGGTTTCTAAGAAAATGTTCGGGAATTTTTCAGGCTTTAAAATCTTTCTTAAAGTGGCTGCAATCCAACAAAAGCATGCGTTCTATAGTCAAAGGTTTGTTGTTTGCAGTGAATCTTGTTGCGCTCAAAAACATGATTCTGGAAAAGAGTTATCTTGATTAGAAGTTGAAATTCATAGAACGTGCATTAATTATGAGACAACCTAATATATTCGTAAGAGCGAAACTACGAGAATGTCTATAAACAATATTTTTCACAGGAACAAGCGATTAATGTTTCGATAAAAACAGTTGTGACAAAGCAATGTGTCATGTTCGTGGAACGCTAAATTCGCGGGATTTGCGGATTTTAATCTGCGCTTCCTATAAAACAAGCAGAGTGAAATTCATCGTGGACAAAACCAATATCCGAAACTCTTCCAGCAATCCCGTAAAACATCAAACAAAACATACTTGTGTCGCAGCTTGAATGAAACTTGAAAAAAAGAATTTAGATTTTGGAAATTGAGGGTAGTTGCATCAACAAATGATTGCCAGGTAAAGAAGGAAGCAGTAGCGAATGAGGCTAAGTCCTCTCAATTACTTATCATCTATTCTATGACCAGGAGACTCGAGACCGCATTGCGGACATTGTCTTGACAAGTTTGAATTTGTTCTTCCCTGTTTCCAAAGAGTGAATAAACCTGGACGAGATAAATAACAAGTATAAACCTGCTAAGTACACGATCAGGCTTGTTTAGACAATGTGTGCAATGCGGTCACGCGTCTTCTAGTCATAGAATGAATGATATGTTGATCAGATAATCAATATGAGAACATTTGAGGGAAAATTATGTTTATATGGAGAAAAAAAGCAGCAAAATTTCTATAGTGAGAACCTACATCTTTTGGAACTCCACTGCGTCACATTTTCAAGATCATAGTCATTCCCCCGTGTATAATTTTGTTTATTTGATTTATTATAAGGCGAACTTGGGTTGCTCAAAAATACTGAGAATATATAACCAAAGATTAAAATAAGAAAGAAATAAGAAATGCCAGAACATAATCATAAACATCAACATAAGTAACATAAAAGCAATTTTTCCTATTGCTGAAAACTCTAGACCAAGGATCATTAATTATTGTTTTTCTAGTACCCTATAATTTCTCGTTCGGCTCATAAATGTAATTAGAACATAAATTATTGAATGAACAATAAAATTACTAGCTTGTAAAAGTCGACCATTGTGATTTTTTCAAACTTCATATTGACTAGCGTAGTGTAAAGAATTTTTTTGGAGGCTCTCAGAAATTTTTGGAGGGTATTACCACCTCTTATCTAAAAAAGGAATCCCACTGCGGCCACTTGACGAAAAAAAAGGGGCACTATACTAGATTTAAAGATTGCTAACATGAAATATAACCTCGCTCTCAATGACCTACCAAGAATTTGCATTTTCAAACAGACGCGTGCAATTATAGTCGGGTAATCTGTAACATGATATGTGTAATGCACAACGCACGCGGTACTTCACGAATTGTTTACTTGAAGGTTGCCAAATTTTAGGGAATTTTTCTTGTTTTCTTTTTTTAGCGTTATCGCATAAGTAATAGGCAGTAGTGGACATTTTGGCAATTTCGCTAAAGCAGTTTTACCAACAAAATATTAAAACGCGTCGTGAATTGTCATGTGCAGTGTGCAGCCTCACATAATGAGTAAAAATGACTAGCCTATAAGTAGCTGAAGATGTGAAAGTTGCCAGTATAAACGCTGTCAAAATCCGACAATTTGTTTAATGCAATGAAGCACGACGGTGTTGTGACTTTCTCCTCCAATATTTTTGACGAAAATACGTATGCACTATGTCTAGCAAAAAAAAAAGGGATAACCATAATGTTGAGTTATAAATCAATTTGCCTCAGGAAGAAAAAAGTCGCGATCCCAGACCGTGGTATCTCACAAACTTGTAGATATATTTGGGCCTGCAGAAGAATCAGGAGGTAGATAAGAAAAACCACAAAAAATAAGGGGTGTGGCTAGGAATTTTAATGATCAAGAAAAACAAAAAAGATGAAGAACTTTTTCTGCGTTCGCTCCTTCAATGTTTATGCATGATCCAATAATTAGCCCATTCAGGTTGCTCTAATTATCTTCGTCACGGCTTCGGAAACCTATGACACCACCACATCTGCGGAGCAGTATTTTTTAACCTTGGCAAGTTACACCGGGATTCCAGTAATAGCATGGAACGCAGACAATTCGGGTTTCTCACTTGGAAAGGTAATAGAATGTTTTTACATTTGTCGGAATATAGCCGATTCATTGCGCGCAGAGACAGGGCGTCAATGCGGACGTTGCTCCCGTCTCCTGCAAAACTCGCCTTCATTCCTCTTGCCTTCTGCTGTCTCTTTCATGTCCGAAGTATCTGAGTCGGACGCAGCGGCGCCCATTCTCTGCGTACGATGACTCGCGCCTATACAACAGCTGTTTCAGGATCTGACGCCCTATAGAATCATCCAGATGGCCCCGCCTATAGAACATCAAATCAGGTAAATTCCAAAAAAAAAACCAAACGAAGGATGGTGGATTCATCGAGAAATTTCAGAGCCATGATTGCTTTACTGCAAAGATACAGTTGGTCAAAATTTGGTGTGGTATGCTCACAAATGGCTGGATCTTCCGAGTTCATCAAAAGCGTACGGCACGAGATAGCCGATGCTAGCAATAAATCGGCAAAGTGAGTATAGAGACAAGTTTTGGAAGTCATTGGCTTTGTTTGCTGATAAAGAGAACCACGAATACAGAAATTTGCATAGTAGAGAATCATTGACATGGACTGTGCATTGATTTGGCGGCGCCGTGACCCAAAGGCGTCACTGCCGCGTCGCGAGGACGCAGCGGCGCGTTGTCTACCTGTTTCAATGAATTGTATAATACTTGCATGGGAATTGGATAAGACTATCATAGACTGCTTTTGACTCCAGATTCGGAATTAAGTTCCACAGCTGCTGGAACATCCACCAATTTCGACATGTACTTTAAAACCGAAAAACACAATAAATAAAATTTTGAAACCTGCGTAATTTTGGTTGGTCTTTCTTGCTAATTGAGAACTTCAGAACAAGAAATTTCTGAGAAGTTAGAAATGTCGAGGCGAACTATGTCTCAATTAGCGACGCAGTTTTTTTCTGACGCATTCCCTTGCGATCTAAAGGCATCACTGCGGAGCAGCGTGCGCGTTGTATGCGTCGATGACTTGACCATAACTGCACAACGACAACCAAAAAAGAAAGACAACATAATGATGTTAATAAAAATATTTATTGCTTCTAAATTTCAGATTCGAAATCATGTTCCACAGCCAACTGGATACATCGAACATGACCGATGTCGACATGCAACTCGTGGAATTAAAGAAAAGTCAAGCAAAAATTGTACTACTCTACGCAACGGCTACTCAAGCACGAACTATTTTCGAGGTTGTTGGGATTTGCCATTTTCACCTATTATAATGCAGTCATGCACAAAAATGATTTTCTCGAGTTTCTACACTTGAAAAGATTGCGTAGTTTGAAGGTTTGTGGTCTTAAGACCGTAGCGATAAAGTAAGACTACAAATTTGCAAAATTACAGAGAGCTGCTCCCTTGGGCCTCACATCTGAGAAGTACCTTTGGATAGGGACGCAATCGGTACGAGGAACTCAAACATCGGTAACTGGCCATACACAACCGGGCATGTTGTCGGTGAATTTCCACACAGGTTAGGCTTACTGGTATCAGTTTGAGTAAATTTTTAGTTTGAAAATCGGTGGCTTAAATTTCAACAAAGAATTGTTGTATTAAAAGAACCAATATTTTCTCCAGCTCCGATCACATCTGGATCAAAAAATATGTAATAGCCATATCTTGACAAACTTAAAATATGAAAATTATGATAAATAACATGTAAAACACAGTAAAAAAATTTTATATTTTCTGAAGATTATTTTTTTTATGTTTTTTAAGTGTTTCATTGATAAATGGTGTGTTGGGTGTTTGATTTAGCGCAAAATCGATAACAGCAATGTGAATTTCGAACTACTCTCTGATTCAACTGGATTGGAGGCTGGAAGGCGGGAGTTCGCGACTTAATTAAGGCTAAAGAATGATTAGAGAGCACGTTCGTGATGGAGTAGACTGCGTGCGGGTGCGAGCGGTCGCCTTCCAGCCGCCAATCTCGTTGAATCAAAGGGTAAAAGGAAGGTACAAGGAAGCCAATGTGTCTAGTTCACTCTGTAACTACAATTTTCAAAACTTTGCGAGCATTATTCTAGATTTCCAGATTTTGAATTGGAAAACCAATAGTGTGGATGCCAAACTCAAGTCCTTTGTCTTTTGTACATATTGTCTAGTTTTGCTTGAAATTTAGAAATCTGAAACTTTTCAAGCGTTTATCTAACAAAAAGTTGGTTCTCAACTTGAAAATCGATAATGTAATTTTCAAACACGTAATCTCCCCATATTCCAAGCGGCCTTTATATTAGTTGGCACATAAGTAATGCAACTTTTTATATAACTTTTGTCTATTTGAACGTAGCTCATCCATTTTCTGGCAATATAAGGATTATGATGTAAAGTGTAAATGCAGACATTTTTGCCGACCGCCATTTTATGTAAGAGTTACGGTAGGTTTACGGTATGGGAAAAGTTTTAGATTGCGTCAGAATTTGCTGAAACTTTGCCTATGGGGGTTAATTGACACACTCATCACAAAAATGGAACCCATTTCGTACGAAAATGCCTCTTTCGTAAAATCAAAAGATGATTGTTGTCTTAGCGATAATTGAATATGATATTTGTGTTCATCGTAATGGATTACCTTATTGTGCAAAGTTTTAGCGAATTCTGAGGTTTCGCAGCTTCGTTATTGACAGATTGCCCTCAAAACTTGACGCGTTTGACTTGTTCTACTTCTCAAAAGCGCCTTGTCTTAGTTTACTTCAACTTTCACTTCTTTTCTACATAATGCCAGAAAATGACAGTGCTACATTGACTAAAAAGAAAGTTATGGGAAAAGTTGCAAAACTTATGTGCCAACCTAATATTTAGTTCAGTTAAATAATCACAATTCTATAATAATTCCTTCTAAATTGTCCAAATTATTTTTTGCTGTGAAAGTGAATAATTCTGCGCTTCAAGCAGACGAAATGTAGGTCGGCTGAAAAATCACGATACCAAATCTTTCCAGATTCTAATTTAGCTCACAAATTACGATTTGAAAGAGCTTTTCAGTACCAAGTAAGTAAAGATCTAGAGCTTTCGGAAATAAAACGCTTGCAAAGAACTGGTCCAAATGTTCAGATATGATGTATGCTTGAACTTGGAACTCTTGTATTATATTTCATGTCGTGAGCGAGTTGTTTTGAAATAATATACGACCTTTTTCCCATGCATGATTAAGTGTCGTTTAATGGACTATGGTCAGCTGCAATTTGCTCAAATTAGACACTAAACAAGAACTGTGAATGGGAATACGTTATGTGTTCCAATAATCACTGGGTAGTACAGCCAAGTGCATTCGAGGAAAAATTTGTGCAATATGACATCAACACACGGTTTGCGCGTAATTCTTAAGACTCGCTTAGTATGTTTGCATAAAAAAAAACTTTTGCGATGATTTTTTTATAGATGCAAGGTGGATAATAAATAAAAAGTTCTCCCAAAAACACGCGCTATCGAGTTCAAATTCGAGTTTTTCGCGACATTATGGGCTATTGTGCAATCGCACCAATAGCTGCTGTTCTAGCAGATTTGCATTTCATCAAACGCTCCTTCACCTCAAAAAACCTCAGTCACAAAATTTAAAAATTTTGGGTCTAACTGTCGTCCTCTCCCTCCCCGAGTCCCTCAGAAGTGTCAAATGGGTGTGATGCAAAAGGCAACAATTTCAAATTTTGCGATAAGAAGGACGCTTCGCATCCACTAACAGACGGAATGGGCGGTTCTTCCATGATCGTTTCAAGTCTTGACGCGATTTAGTGCGCAGGAGGCGGTGCTTTGAGTTTAGTTACATTTGCACGTATCCTGGCCTTCCCTCGACTAGAAAGTTCTACACGTTTCTAACATCTACACTATTCTAACAAGTTCGAACTTGTTCTCTTCTCATTATGAGCTGTGAACAACTAGAAAGTAGAGAACAGGTTTTTACTTATTGAGCACACTTGTGCGTAACACTCCCTACCCGAAGAAAGTATGATGCCAGTTTTATCGGTACTATGCTTCTCTCCCGCCTACAGAATGGGTGGAGACGTGGTCGCTACGCTTACGCGCGTAGCGGTTTTGTGATAGCGAGAGAGCATGGAAAGTTGAAATGAAGGATTAATAAATTCATGTTATCAGTTCAAATCAGACCACTAACCGGAACTTCCGCAAAACGTTTGGGGTTAGTTCTGCCGGGTTACTGCGGAAGTTCCGAACAATGCGAACCACAACAGCAAAAGAAAACACCTAAGCGAGATTTGAACCTTACTCTATTGACTTCGAGATTTACTTACTATCCTCCGCACTACGGATGACATGTTCGGTAATGCGCTCTAGCTGTTGGTGAGGCAACATCATACGAGACAACACATTCAAAACCGTGCGGAAGTACCGGCATGTCAAAGTGCTGCGGAACCGCTGACATTTCTCGGAAGTTCCGCAGCGCTTTGTAAAAAGTCATGCGGAAGTTCCCCTTTTCAACCTGTTTGACGCGAAAATTCCGCGGAAGTTCCCATTTTTAACGTTTTCACTTTTGCAATAGTAAACAAAACCCTGCGGAACTATTGCGAAATTCGCTTGTCCTGCGGAATTTCCAGTGAATTGTCTGAGAATGCTCTGCACAATTTATGAGAGGAGGGGAGGGGGGGGGGGCAATATCAAGTATGATCAATATAGTCAATGAGAACTAAAACATTGAAATAAAATACAAATCAATTATAATTTTCGTTCTCTGGGTTTCTCTTAGACCTAGACGGAAATTCAAAAAAGTTAGGAGCTTTTCTGACTTTCATTAGTATTGTGGAAAGGCAGCATGAACTGCAAAGGAAATCTTGTGGGACTAACCTAATCTTCCATCTGCTTCCAAAAAAAAACATAATTTTAGCATAATCTAAAGAAGGTTGGAAGGTAAGAAAGCGAAAAGAGTATAGGATGAATTCTATTCAGTAATACTTCTTGCAAGTGACAGTGACAAGCTGAAAGTGGCAACACACCAAATAAGAACCTCCTAGTCTGTACTTTTTCAAATGTATTTACTCAAGTTGATGGCACTTCGGTTCGATATTAGACGAACGCCTACGCATTCATTAAGCGCTGCACAGAACTTCTGCTGCACTCACAAACGAGTTCCCTATTTTCTTAGGGAACTTAAATTATCTCAGCGCCCCTCTCTCTCCACTTCTACTCCGCACACCTCCGATAATGAACAAAACAAATTCTGGCCTGGTTAAAACAGTTAAGGGAAAACTAATCAAAAGAGAACTGACTGAGAAAATGACCAAGGGCGAATACAAGTATCTATATAGGCAATAATTGTAGTCTCAAAAAAGACACCAATTTTTTGCCTTTCAGAACAAAATAATTAGCTAAAAATTAATTTGTAAAAAGTAGTTAGCTACACCTATCAAATGATTGTAGAAAATAATGCTAGAATGCCAAAAAAAGCTTGAGAAATTACATTTTTTTGCAGCGAGTTTCATCAGTCTTCTGAAACTTCTTCAGAAAATTAAATTATTCCTAGAACTCTGGACTACAAATTGGCAACGATCATAAAAAACCATATAGTAAAGATAAAAAGAAATTCACACAAAAAGGAAAAAGCAAAAACATTTGGTATTTGATCAGCCTGCGCTTGCCTATTCTAACAACATGAGATCCGTTTGGTGTTGACGGCGAAAAGTTTGCGACAATGGAACTAATTCAATTATATTAAAGTGCGAAGTACAAACGAGGCGGATTTTTACGTCTATCGTGTTAGAAAAGGTGTTGGAACATACTGCCGAATTGATATGTCCAACATGACCTTTAATAATTTTGGTAAAGTACTCAATTTTTTTTTTGCTTCAGGAGAACTTAATCAACAAGGCCTAAGGCCACTTTTTGTTGAAATTCACTGCTATGTAAACAACTATCAATTAGTGCATTTGCACTAATATAATCTTAACAAAATATAGTAAAACTTCGATATAACTCGGTACAATGAAGCGGAACTGCATTTGCTACAAGCCGTCTCAGAAAAAAATTTCTTTTGAGCGATGAGAGAAGGGGCGGACACCGAAAATATTTTTGAAATTTGGCAGTGCCATGAACTTGAATTTTCAAAAAACGGAGGCAACCCGCCAAGAAAAACAAAGCGAATTTAGTCAATAGCTTTCAAAAGCTGTTATAGCTATACAAGTATTAAAACAAAAAAACGAAGAATTTGTAGAAACAAACCATCTGTACAAGTTAATAATACATGTAAAAACATTGATTTTCGACCCCTACTTATTTCGCATTATTATCTAAAAGACTTTCAGTCAAATACCACAGAACAATCTGAAAATTTCAGTCGTGTTGCGAGATAAAGAAAAAATAATTAAAATTAGAATTTTAAAAAATTTCAACGGGGAGAATGTCCTATGAAGCCAAAGTCCCTGCTAAAAAAGTTTTCCCTTTTTATTTTTTCTGTACCTGCTAAAAAAACAATGTTCAGTGTCAAATGCTATGTTTGCCCCACGTGACGACATTCTTCCACTCATAATCCAACTTGCACCAAAGGTAGATTCTTTCTCATGAAATAAGACTCTGCAAAGAACTCCTGTTCAGCTCTTCGGCGCAGCTTTGCTACTTCTCCCTCCGAACGAGAATATAACCTTGGAATCTACAGCTTCGTGTCGAGACGCGGATGGTCCACCTAGTTGGGACTATGGCGAAAAGATTTATGAGTAAGAAAACTGCATTTTGAGATCAACAAAAACAACCAAATAATTAAGGTTGATGAAGCAATCGTTTGTCAAAGGCAATCCGTTCCATGTTGATGATGGTCATGACTCTTTCTTCTATACTTTCAACAAATACGGAAAGCTGAAGAACTCAATGCTCAGAATATCGAATTTGAGGAAGAACCCGAAAGGAGGCTATTATTGGGACAAAGTAGGTCATCGGGATTCATAAACATGATTCTCTGAAAAATTCACATCCTGCTAAAAGCTTCTCAATTGTTTGTTTGACATGATGATCAGAAAAATTGTAATCATTGCCACCTGAAGCATTATATTTTGTAGAGGCTTGAAACTTGAATGTAGTTTGTAAGCAAATACGGTTATTGGTGTTGGCATACAGTAAGTTTCACCTATATCACCTGTATCCCCGTTGATCATCGTGGTTGCACGAGCGGGTACCAGTAATGCCTCCATTCGTCCCTGTCTCGCGCGATTGTTGACCAGTGTTTACGTATCGCACCAGGAACACGTGGAACGCTCTGAAGGACTTCATTAAAGGACTTCGTGAACATATCTGACCATCGCGTCGGCGGTCTTCCTCGTTCGCGTTTGACGTCCAGTGGTATCCAATCTGTTACAGCTCTCGTCCACCGGTTGTCGTCGAAACACATTACGTGCCCGGCCCATCTTATCTTGTTCTGCTTGGCGTACGCGGCAGCGTCCCTGATCTTCGATCGTTGACGTAGGGTAGAACTTCGTAATCCTTGCCTCACTTGCGTGAGTCGATTCACTCTTAGCATCACTCTCTCAACAGCTCGTTCGATGACTAACCGCGTGTTCATCCTGCTTTCTCATTGTCCATGTTTCTGAAGCACGTACGTACGTGCTTCACAAACATGGACAATGAGAAAGCAGGAAGAACAAACGTACGTCAAAGCAGGAAGAACCGTCGAGTTGAAAAGGTGGGCGCGGAGCCGGATGTTCTTGGTCTTCTTCACTATGTCCTCAATTGTCTTATATGCTCCCCATGCTGCACCTTTCCTCCTGCTCAGTTCCGGAACTAGATCGTTCATCATATTGAGTTCATGACCTAGGTAGGTGTAGCTTGAGCATGATGTTCGTCCCGTTGAGCATGAAAGGAGCATCAGGCACTCTTTCGTTCCTCATGAACATCGTCTTCGTTAAATTCAGCCGTAGACCGATCTTTCCACACACTTCGTCAAACTGGGCCAGCATTTGTTCCGCCTGCGTGATGCTTGGTGTTATCAATACGATGTCACAGCAAAGCGAAGGTGGTGTAGCTGCCGGCCGTCGACTTTCACTCCCATGTTGCCCCATTCCAATTTTCGCATGACGTTCTCCAGAGCGGCACTGAATAGTTTCGGCGATATAGTATCGCCTTGTCGCACTCCTCTCTTCACGTCGATGATGATATCCTTGTAGAATGGTGTTATAGTGGTTGTGAAGTCGTTATACAGCTCACGAATTATCTTGATGTAATGAGTCGGAATGCCTTGATTGCTCAAGGCATCGATGACGGCTTCAGTCTCAACCGAGTCAAAGGCCTTCTTCAAATCGATGAAGGTGAGACAGAGCGGCATCTTATACTCTCGTGACACTTTAATGAGCCTTGACACCGTGTGTTGTGGTCTATCGTGCTAAATCCTCTTCGAAACCCAGCTTGTTCGCATGGTTGTCCTTCGTCTAACTCTCTTCCGATTAAAAATTAACTCGCGTAGAGTTTGTAGATTACAGACAACAAGCAGATAGGGCGATAAATGCCGATGTCGCAGGGATCTCCCTTCTTGTACAGCAACACGGTTTTGCTAGTCTTCCATTGTCTTGGAACCTTGCCTTCCGTCAGGTACCGCGTGAAGAGCCTTGCCAAAGTCTTGATGAGAACTGGCAAAAGATTCTTCAGATGTTCTGACTTAATCCTGTCGGAACCGGGTGCTGTACGGTTCTTCATCGACAGTTAGCATGACGAATTTCGAAAGGAAGAACAGATGGTGCGACATGCTCGTCCTCCTTGAGATGGCATGGTGGAAGGTGGACGTGGCTCGCAAAGAGATCCGAGTATAAGTCGTGGATGACCTTCTCTATTGATCTTCGGGAAGCAGTTACGGTTGCGTCAGAACGACGAAGTGCGGTCATCTTTGTCTTGAAGTTGACGAAGCTTCGGCGGGCGTTGCGTATACTTCTTCCAGCCTCCGCGGCGTCAACCATCACTGCTACTCTTCTCTCCTTGAGGTCTTCTTTTATCGCTTCTCTGCATCGCTTCGCAAGCTCGGGCGTCAGTCGGTAGTTGCCTATGGCTCGTGCGCATCCACATTGGCGTATCAGCTCCGTCTCCGTGGTGAGACGTCTTCTCGTATTTCTCAGACTCTGAGCTTCCTTGGCACAATCGTGGAGATGTTGTACGAACCGTTCGTATTCTTCTTCGATGTTGTCCATCACGGTATCTCGCCATGAGCCGGATATCGAAGAAAACAGTCACAGTCGGTGGTATTCATGGGACGATGTTTCCTGAACTTGACGGCTCTCTCTCCATTCCGCGGAAAGTAGAATTTGGCGCGTAGGAGGCGATGGTCTGATCCCGCGTAGAACTTCGGAACAACAGCGACGTCCGTCAGGCAGTATCTTCTGTTGACGATGATGTGGTCAATCTCGTTATGGTACTCTCCACAGAGCGGTTCCCAGGTCTAGCGTCGGGGAGAGGGCTTTTGGAACTGTGAGTTTCCATGGATAGTCCTCGTTGTCATGATAAACTCAGACACTCTCTCCCCTTGTTCGTTCCACTTTTCGCAAACCATGGGTTCCGATGTAAAGCTCCTCAGTCGACCTTCTAGTTCCGATCTTCGCGTTGAAATCGCCGACGATGATCTTGTAGAAGGTATGATCTTCTTTGTAGAACTTCTCCAAGTCCATATAGAATTCCTCGAGTTCGTCCTCGTCGTAGCTGGATGTTGGGGCATACGCAGTGAAGACGGTCAAGGCAGGGATTGATCCACATCTTGATATTCGCAAACGTCCGATTCGAGTTGTAAGTTGTTCAAACGAATGATGTTCATGGCCAAACTTGTGTCGACAAGGACTCCCACTCCACCTACTCCTCGACTGTCGCATGTTCCTAGGAACAGTTCTTCTCCAGTCTCAAATGTGGCGTTTTCAGCAGGTGGTGCCTCCTTGTCTCGGTCAGTCCGAGACGTCGTACTTGATCTTCTTGCTTGCATCACGAGGTCTTCGATAGATGCGTCCGATGCCAGCGTCCTCGCGTTGTAAGTACATATCGTCATCATAGTCCGTCTCATTTTCGGCAGCCTAGATCGCCTTTCAAAAATAAAATCTTGTTCGACACAGTGACGGTAAGGTTACTTTCGCTAAATTACGGAAAAAACTGCATATAAATCACTTGCTATTTGAATAATTCATGGGGCGTGACTTCGATACTGTACATCTACAGTAACGCAACAAACATGCTGTTCAAAATGAGTGTTACGGTAAGCACTCAGTCAACTTTTCTGTAGAGTGCTAGTGAGTATAGGATTTACTTATAATGGAAATAATCATGCCATTTAAGGTAGGAATGTTCACAAATAACGAGCTGCGTATGGCAGATGTTGAATGGCCAGGAGATAAAGCAAATCCACCACAAGGAACAGCTGACAAGTTTCACGTTAAGGTAAAGTGAGTGCGGCGCGACGCAGCGCGCGGCGTCGCGTTGCAGTGCTTGCTCTAATTAGTTGCAATCAATCAATATCTCAGCTTTGCGTGTATTCTTCTCCGTTTTTTTTTTTCCAAGCATTGTATTGAAGACTGCTAATGGTCCTAATATTCTTCGCGAGCCCACACACAACGATGAAGGAACTGAACGGCAGTCCTTCAGACCATGTTCAAAGAACGCAATAGAAATCTGTTGTTGCACAATGTGTTCCAGAAAAATAAAGAAGGACATTCTTCTAAAGATTATTTAGTCTCTGCAAGTGTGCTGAGCTGCGAAGTTTCAGGAAAATGGCCTTTTATGACTTAGGGCTGCTGAAAGACCCCTCATATGAACAACGTAATTTCTATCCCTTTAGGTCGTTACACTGCACGAACCACCATTCATAATTGTGTCCGACGTCGACCCTGACACCGGCAGGTGTCCCGGAAATCAAGGCAGCATATGCGATTGGGGAGACGAAGAAATTGATGATGATGGAAGCAAAAAGTAAGTTGCTATTGAATTAGCAAGGAACCAAACCTGTACAGTCTGTGTCAATTGCATACTCGTTTTACTCAAGAATTACATATCCGCAACGCGTGAGTCCTGCGTACAAATTTCCAATCAATATCGATCCGGATACTCAAGCCATACGCGCATAAACGTGACGCGAGGCTCTGGCGTAGCGACTGCGCCCATAAAAAAAGAGAACACGCGATTAACACAGACTGTAAACAGACGCGATGCAGAAATGGCATTACAGAAATCGTACTCTGTGGAAGTGCTGCTCAGGATATTGTGTAGATTTGTTGAACAAGCTGGCAAATGACATAGGCTTCACCTATACCCTATACAAAGTCAGGGACGAAAAATGGGGTTTGAAAACGGTAAGCGACACTCTTATAGCTGTGATAGTAGAATAGAAAATAATCCGCTGAGAACGCCGGAAGAGAACACGGCGCGAATAGCCTGTTCTCTTTCCCAGAATTAATGAGGTTATCCAAATGCAATAATACTGAATATATAATATGCTAACAGGACTCTGGTTGGAATGGCCTCATCGCAGATCTCATCAATAACAAGGCTGATATGTGTGTTACATCGCTAAAATTGAACTCTGAGCGAGCAAGAGATATAGACTTCTCGCTTCCGTTCCTCGAAACGGGCATAGCTATTATTGTCAAAATCAGAAGTGGCGTACTTTCACCGACAGCATTTCTAGGTAAATTGCACTATTTCCCACTTATTCTAGAAATCATAATGTTTTTGCAGAGCCATTCGAATACTCTACGTGGGTTGTGATCTTGCTAGTTTCCATACAAGGAGCTGCTCTTTCAATTTTTATCTTCGAATGGGTCAGCCCTTACTCATTCAACATGAGCAGATATCCTCCTCCAGGTAATCCCTCCAGCCGCGGACATATTTATTTTTTCTTATGACCAACTAGATACAAACTTCAGACCACAAGTTCTCGCTCTGTCGCTCTTACTGGTTGGTTTGGGCAACGCTGTTTAGTGCTAGCGTTTCAACAGGTAAGGTTTGTCGATACGTACAGCAGTGACGCAAAAGCCTAAGGAAAAATCTACAGTGCAGCAAGATGCCTACGAGTCGTGACGGATATGCCTGCACGACTCATAAGCCTCGCTGCCACCGCATGAGAGCGACATGCTACCGTTCCAAAAGCTCAGGGTTGCTTCGATAATTGCACAACGCTGTCGCAGCACACGACCGCGGCCTATGAGTCGTGAGTGGGCAATTCGTCGCGACTCGCAAGCATTGCTGTTGCCTTGTAGATTTTTTTATATGCTTGCATAGGTGCAGGCCGTTCTGAATCTCCTTCAATCGCGACGGCTATGATTTTTCCAAAAGTGCCGTCTTCCTTTCGGAACTCCATGTTCACTTCCAGATGTCCCAAAATCTACTGTATCTCGGTGCATGGCACTAGTATGGGCCGCTTTTGGCCTCACTTTTCTGGCTGTTTACACCGCAAATCTCGCTGCTTTCATGATCACTCGAATACAGTACTATGACTTGAGCGGTATCCACGATCCTATGGTAAGTAGCCTTTATCAAATTTGCGCAAATTTTTTACTGAATCACGGACAAATATGAAATCACTCCCACATTTCAGTTAGCCTATCCTGCTGATCAGCAACCACCCTTCCGCTATGGAACCGTTGATGGTGGCAATACACACGAAACGATGAAAAGAAACTGGAAAAATATGCATGAATATGTAAAGAGAAATCATTTCTTCCGCGATAACATTTCCGCCGGAGTAGAAGCGGTCAGAAATGAGTAAGTTGCGAAATTTTGTCTCAATGAATAATACTTGAGCTTATTTACTTGAGCGAGCTCGACGCCTTCATCTACGATGCCGTTGTACTTGATTACTGGGCGGGGAAAGATGCGAACTGTGAACTTATGATGGTAACATTTATAAAAACACTTCATTCGGAAACGGACTTGATTTTAGGTCGGAAAATGGGCAAGCATGACCGGATACGGTATCGGTTTTCCAAAAAACTCGCCATATACCGCGATCGTCAATCAGTATATGCTTCAGTACCAACAGAAGGGTATCCAGTTATGTCCAATCTCCAACATGTCCATCAAACAATCATTGTAGGAGATCTTGAACGCTTGGCAAACTTCTGGCTCACTGGCGCTTGTTCACCCGAAAGCCATGGACAAACACAGTCTGCACCACTGGGAGTGGAGAACTTTTTATCAGCATTTTTCCTGCTAGCTGGAGGCATTGTAAGTTTAGAATGGGGGTAGTCTAAAAGAAGTAAACCAATTTTGTTGAGTACTCTACCTTAAAGCATTTGCTTTTTGATGATACCCTGAGGACTGAGTGGCGGCTGGCATCTGCACAGGCAACTCAAAGGCATTCGCACTCTTACGCACGCTCGCGAATGCCTTTGAGTTGTGGCTACTTATACATGATGAGATAGATGCATAGACGTAACTTAGCTTCAAATACGCTTCACAAATTACATTTTAAACAAACAGACAACTAAAATGATCGTACATCTCGCCAATCTTGTTCCAGATTTTCTCCGTCATTGTGCTTGGGTGCGAGTTTTTCTTTGTACGTCACCTACGTAAGCCATTACAGCGACTGGATCCTAATGGCTGGTGCGGCATCATTAGCATGGTAAATACTTATTTATAACAACAAAAACATGTACTGAAAGAAGTTTTTGAGGCTATGGGCAAATCCCTAACTCTACCCGAAGCCGTGGACCGTGTTCAAGAATGGAGAAGTAGAGCACAATCATTGGCAAGCTATCAGCAGCAATCACCTCTTATAAAAAGGAGATCGACTGGCGGGTAAACTTATTTCTTCCTTCATCTCCCACCCAAATACGTCAAATATTTCTCAGATCTGATAAGCTCAAGCTGCCACACATTGGAAGACCAGATCATAAGCCAAAAAAGAAGTTTCTCGAAGTTGAAACGAATCTGTAGTTGTAGTGCTTTTTGTGCGTAGATGAACTTAGGATAAATATTTCGTAATGTATTTCTACAGAAGAAAAGCTCGTATAAGCTTACTTTATACAAAGAAAAATACAGAATCTTTGTACTTGAAAGATAAGCGTAAATTTACAAATTTCAAGAGATCAACAATTCTCCCCTCTTGTCATAGAAGCAAGCATTGGGGTAGATGATCACAATAAGGCTAACTTTGCATTTGGAGTGTCTAGAGTCAAAGACAACGAATTTTCAGAGGCAGCGAAGTCAGTATTTCGATGGGATTAGTCATAAGTCCAGATGAAGACAAGGATACTTCATGGCCTAAGCTCAGCAAGGAAAAATCAATAGGAACAAACATGCAAGAAGTAGATACAAGAAGTACTGACCATGTCACCGAGTGAAAATACCGCGAATGAACTTCCAAATCATCGAAGGTTGCTTACGGCAATGCCTGTCAGGCCCCCTGTCCAGCTCGTCGAGCAAAATCTGCGAGTAACTGCAGATTACGGGTATTTGTAGAAGGCTTGATAACGTCGAGTGCTTGTTCGAAATCACTTCTCTGACAAGATAGAATGAAATAGGAGTTTTGCGAAAAAAAGAAAACTCGGGCATGACTCACCCTAAGATCCCTTAGCTTGCTTTCATCTGTTGTGGCTAATTTCTTACGGTCTATACTCCTCACGGGTACCATAGCAGCTTCTTTACACAGAGCGACCAAATCAGAATTAGAGTAACCATGTGTATGAGAAGCTACCCATCTAAAGGAAAATCAATAAGCAAAATGGGAGTGAACAGTCTACCAAGAACGAAAACAAAATGAAGAAAATAAATTGCAAATCCACTTGCCTTATGTCATAATCATAGAGCCCTGATGTCATGTGATGTTTCTCCAAAATCAGCTTGAGAAGAGTATATCGAGCTCGTTCGTCTGGTAGGTCCAACAATATTCGCTTTGGAAAACGTCTGAAATAAACTACGATTCAAGATTACCTGATAAGAATCCATAAATAAGTCGAGATTACAAGCTCAACGTGGCGCAGATTTTGGACCCTGGGTAAATATCGGTTTCCAGTAAGGGAACGGCCATAGGTTGTCGATGTTGTCGGTGTTGTCGATGTTGTCGATGTTGTCGGTGTTGTCAGAGTTGTCGGGGTCAGAGACAGTTTAGAGAGCGCGCGAAACGTGGAGCCTATCATGAGGTCCTACAACGACCGGCAACTCGGCAACCCCGACAACATCGACAACACCGACAACATCGACAACACCGACAACACTGACAACATCGACAACACCGACAACCTATGGCCGTTCCCTAACTGAGCATAAAAGTATGCTTCATAGCTTCTGTGCATGTAAGTGGTCTTCTGGAGCATTTTTGGGAAAACTTCTAAGTAGGTAGGAATAAAAAGACCACCGCCTCCCCCGCCGCCTCCGCGTAGCACTGGTCTTTTGCATACGCCAGTGCATACGTTAGGGGTAAGCAGTTCGCGGAGCCGGTGCCTAATGAATGGGTTCGTTTTTCTTTCATGGAAACTAGGCAATTGCTCTGTGATTTTTGTTCATGAAAGATCATCTCGAGTATGAAAGCGAAAACCTAACAAAAAATATATAAAAAAACTTAATCAATTTGTTCTGTTTAGCACCGATACTACCAATAATCATCCACGCAACTATTGCGTATTGAAGAAAACTAGACATACCGTAGCACCGCATCGTCAAGTTCATGTGGTCGATTTGTAGCACCGATGACAAGAATTCGATCGTCTGGATTGCTGGTAGCACCGTCAAACTGTAGCAAAAATTCCGTTTTCATTCGTCGCGAGACTTCAGTGTCCTTCTCCGTACGATCACAAAGAATCGAATCAATTTCGTCTACAATTATAAACTTGATCAACATCTGGGTTGTGTTTAAACCGATGTCAAGTGAACATACCAATAAATATAATAGCAGGTTGAGCATTTCGAGCAATTTGGAACAAACTTCTGATAGTTTTTTCTGCATCTCCTACCCATTTCGATGTCAGACTAGCAGCTGAGATATTGAAGAATACTTGGCGAGCCTCAGATGCTACAGCCTTAGCCTGAACAAAAAGAAATCTCGAAAAAATGACTAATCAAAAATGTGCAGTACAAGCATAGTTTTTCCATTGCCAGGAGGTCCGAACAACAATATTCCTTTCACAGGTTGTCTTAAGCCGCTGAACAATCCTGGATTCATAGCAGGTAGTATTACCGCCTGCAATTTGCATGGGATCAGTACAAAAATCATTAGACTGCGAAAGAAAACTTTCATCAGTACATTCGCCCCAATTCAAAGAAAAACAATAGTGAGGATAGGAAAGGAAAGTGACCAACAGCAAATTTTGTTGATAACTTACCTCCTCAAGAGCTTCCTTAGCAGTTTCACAACCAGCCACATCAGAAAGCCTTACATCAGTTCGATCAAGCATTTCGTTCAATAGTGCTTCCCCAAACTTAGCGTCAACACCTTTGAGCAGCTGCTGACGTGTAGGGATAGCAGCACGTGCAGCAATGAGTTGTCTCTGAAATAACAATTGATCACTGACGAAGAACGCCTATTGGAAGCAAGAAAAATCGGTTTATAGCGATCAAGTGAATCTTTCTGGTTTCGTTTCCAATCGCGCCTTCAAATCTTTGATCATCTCATGCTCAATTTACCTTTCCTAAATTTTGATCCACTTTTCGAATTTTTGGGTTACTCTTCTGTGGCCGTATTCATCAACGAACCCCGAGGGTTAAACTAACCCTGGAGGGTTAGTTTAACCCTGGAAAGCGTTTAACCCGTATTCATGAAACACAGGGTAGGCTTAACCCTGAGGGTTAAATCTAACCTTGAGGGTTAATTTTACCCCGAAAGCGACTAACCCGTATTCATCAACGAACCGTGAGGGTTAAAGTAACCCTGGAGGGTTAAACTTACGTGATTCATCAGGGTTAATTCAACCCTAGCTCAGAGCAAGGTTAACTCTACCCTGACACTTCATACAAACGTTTACTCGCATCTAATAGTTTATGGAAAACGATCAATGAGTATTATGGCATTTAGTATTGGTTGTTGTTATAGTATTTAGTTTCGACTTCGTTTTATGTTCATATTCGAAGTACATGAAACCCTGACTTCGCGAGAAAAAGACTTCTAGCTTTGGTGACAAATGAATGCGACGAGGAAAAATGGCATTCCACTCTGACAAGTGCCAAAACAGAAGAACCCCTTTATAATAACACGCATTGACCCCTAAAGGAGTAGCACAAGCCCGGTATAAAACGAACTGCGCAAAAGTTAAAAAAAAAGTCGTCCTTAAGAGCTATCTACTTTCTTCATCTGAGTATTCATAATCACTATTGTTCTTTTTCTTTGCACGTGTTCACGATTGTTTTTTATTGTTCTGTCGTGCCTTTTGGCATGCACTGTTGTTCAGTGTTGTTATAATTTTCACATAGGGTACCCTATATAAATGAAAATGAAAAAAAGTAGAACTTACACTGCACAATTGCACACACGAAACTAAACTCACGCTGTAAGATTCGATGCTGCACAAGTATGCTAGAGATTTATTATAAAAACTAGTGTTAGAAGCTTATTCTTTGACTAACTACTATCAGTGAAAGAATAGAAGTATAAAGTGAATTTAGCCCGTACTTAGGCATTCTGTGATGTGAGTTTGCACAGCGCACGCGTAACAGACGCCTTAACCCTCCAGGGTTAGTTTAACCCTCAGGATTGATGAATACGGCCACAGGTTTGTTGATCGATACGGGTAGATCGCGTTCCGTGGTAGACCCTAGCCTATGGTTGATGAATACGGCCAATGAACCCTTAGGGTCAAACTAACCCTGGAGGTTTAGCTTAACCCTCAGGGTTCGTTGATGAATACGGCCACTGAACGACTGTGACTGCAGGTTTGCGTTTCTGGGTTTGTCTAACGTCTAAAGCGCTCGGAACCTTCACTTTGGGTATCCTACGTCGGTCCTAGAGCAATTTCAATTACACTTACAAAAAGCACTTTCGTAGTAGACAAACAAAAGCATTAGGAGCATGCAGCATTGAAAAAATCATCAAGCCGAACAAAGTTTATCCTCGAGAAAGTAAGAGTTTGTTCCCTTGAATTCGGAGATGATGTCTTGATCTACATTTATCAGTATTTTTATGTTCTTCGTCAACAGACATGATGAACTGGACACGATGCTGATATGTATAAGGGTTGAAGAATGCGAAAATGCAAGAAAATGAAATGGAAAAGAAGTATTGGTAACAAATAAAGCAAATAAGAAAATTATTTTATAAAATTTGTTAAATCCACCAACCCCTGGCGCAGAATTAACACGAGCACCCAACCGTGATGGCGACGCCGTCCGTGCACTTGATGTACCGGGAATCGATGTCGAAGAATGGTATGGTGGATTCGTTCCTTGGATTTTAGCCACTAAAAGACAGGTCATAAGTAATTATATGTGTATATGAAAACAGAAATTCAAGTAGACCAAAAAGGAAGAAAATACAGATTGGCATGTACTTACTCAGTATGACAAAACGCTCTTTAGCGCTTTTGTGGTACCCTAACATTCTTTCCTTCGCTTCGGCAGCTTCTTTTCGCCTTTCTGCGTGGATATCCATAATATTTATTGCCTCAGCCTAAACAAAGCTATTCACAATATTTCAAGAAAAAACAAAAATAAAATTACCTTTCGAAATGCATCCATTCCTTGCTTATATAATTCACAAGCTAATATCTTCTTCTCTTTGTCGGAATCTATGTCGAATTTGCACATACAGATGTGTTCGATGGATAAAAAGGGAAAAATGATTTACCAGAAGATCTTTCGTCCAATTCCACAGCCTCCATCAGTTTTGATCGGCCCTGGTTGTAGTGGGCCATGAAAGCGTCAAATCTGGTGGCCTGTATGTCCCGTTTACCCACCACGTTCATCCCTAATAAAAAATAGGTTTACTCGCTTATAAATCTACCATAGAGGCTCGAACCATGGACATCAAGAAGAATCTCATAACAAGCTCCTACCCCAGGCTATGCAGGTTAGAAAATTCAAGACACACACATCATTAGGAAATCAAAAAGCAAAAAGCAAGACATAGGAAAGTTAAGAAGCGGCAAAATCACTCTTCAACTCGGTAGACAGTAGATACAAGAACAGGAGAGAGCCCAAAACAAACCATCCATCATATCTCCAAGAAACTTCTTTACTTCTCCAAGAGGTTTGACGATATTTTCCATTCAGGTAAACCAACCCTTAATTTTGAGGGATCGTAGTAAGACTTACGCCATTTATTTGTGAAGCTGCTCATGCGAGATTTCTGCATATTACAAAAACTAAAACATTCTATTCTCAAAGAATAAAAATCATAGCAGACTTTGCGAAGGAAAGTTTCATCAAAAATCTGTCAATACTTGGTGCACTTACACCTGCAGTGCATTTTTGCGTCTACTCACACAATCCACACAATTCACGGGCGACCGTATGGAAGATTCAGGAAGCATGGTTCGATTTTGTCTAGTTTCAAAGAAAAAAATCACCTCATTATTATGGTGCATCAAAAATCTGTCAATACCTGGTGCACTTACACTTGATGTGCATTTTTGCGCCTGCACATAAGAATCAACTCGAGGAAATCATGCATGACCGGTTCAAAAAAACAATGAAATTTCATGAAAGACATTCAGAACTACTACATTTTCAGAAAATAAGAGACTGACCTAAAAACAAAAGGTATACCAAAATTTTGTCAAACTTAGTGCACTTACACATAAAGTGCATTTCTGCGTCTTTACACATGCAACCCTCACAACTTATGAGTGGGTGGGGGACTATATGTCGCCGAATTTGGAAGCTCCCGCGCGGATTCCCTGTAGGAACGCATGTCCGCGCATGCACAAGAGTGCGTATTTGTCGCAGATGACCGCGGGACCGCCCTTTTTCGGCAACATATAACCCTCTACCCTTGCGAGTGACCATACTTTCAAGAGTAGGCTTCACGAAAGTCACTTCCCTTACTATAATATCCTATTTCAAAACAAATCAAGAAGAAATGCTACGAATTGGGTCCTTAAAAGTTTATAACACTTGCACTTACACATGAAGGGCAGTCTGCGTCTACACACATCTCACAGAACTTACTCGTGACAATTTTTCATAAAGGAATACGAAATTTAGTGAGGACGTCTCATATTCTTATTATTCAAGATACTCCTCAGGCTCCAACCAGAAACTGTTTTCCAAAATGCTTTCATCATAGATTTATTAACTCTCTGTACAAATACAACATATAAGAAAAAACAAGGCACTTGATATTGAGTGAAAAAAGCACCGCAGCTCTGGTAAGACTCATAAGTAGATGTTTTTCTAGACATGAGCAGTTAATAGCAAGCATACGGTACGAAATTTCTGGAAAAAAATAAAAAAAGCTGCAGCGGAGAGCAAGTGACTGCGATGATAACCATACAATCGATCGATGCGACCCACTAGTGGGTCGTATAAACACTTTAAAACCTCCACAAGCAAAGTTCGGCTGCAGAAATGACTAGTCTCTAAATTATATCACTTGGCGAAAATTGATTAGATTCTTTCAAAAAAAAAAAAAACTAGGATAAGCGACTAGAAGTTGACTACACTAAGCACTTACAGAATCAAAGAATGTCATGGCCACAAATGGTACCGAATAACTGCTAAGACAAACGTATATAAATAAACGAATAAAATATGAGCATGGAAAATTGCACTTTAAACATGATGTGCAGGGTTTACAAAAAGAGCGATAAAAAAGCTATCATACATAAGAGAGTTGTAAAACAACGCTTGTCACTCTATGCTATTATGCATATTATGCGGAGAGAACTCCAAGCAAAGCCAGGAAGAAAACACGAAAGATTTCACAAAGCACAATATTACATCAGACTCCTCCATAACTTTACCACGCAGCAACACTCAATTTGTTGTCTGCTGGAAATAATATTCATTTGCTTCGGCGGGGAGTTTCCATCCGCTCGCTCCCAGCTCCAATAGCAGCAGGATCATTTTTCGAGCCCAAGGCTCGGACACGTCAATGAATGCGTCCCTAGAAAAAACAAAAGTGGTGATGAAATGATAAGACGAAAGCTGACTCATACCTGATTAGGTCTTTCAAAAGGGACAGCTGATCGGGGCACTCGCGTTCCAAGTCGTATCCGACGGAAAGCAGAGCGGAAATAAGCGACTCCAGCTGCAAAAAAAAAATGACTCAAAGGATTATTATTGAGAATCCCAACTACTTTTTTGTTCTGTTATGCCAAATACAGGGTGTCCCAAAAAATGTGCACACTGTTTGATTGTAAATAACTCTTTTGTGGTGAAGTGTTTAGAAGCTTTAGGTACCATTTTGTAGAGCGAGGTTCAACTTAGATTTACAGTGTAGAGCGGATCGCCGATCTCTCACTCTTACTTTAGGATCACCGGAGAAACTTTGGAGAGGGTTTTGAGCCATGAAAGGCCATTTGTTCCAAAAAGAAACCAAAACAACCTGAAAACTCTCACACTGGGCTAACTAGAGTTGCTGATTCTAAATGTGAAGTTCGCAACTCTTCGTACTTCATTAAAAAATTATGCGAGGTAAGCAGTAGCAGACGTTTCTTAAGTGTTCCTAAAAAGTGCGGTTACACCGTTTAGAAAGCTTCTCAACCTTGTAAAGAGTTGGGTATTGAACTCAGGGTCCATAAAAACCCTATTACACAAATTTCCACATTTTTTTTTGAAAATTTTTGAAACGGCCGCTTTTTTCACAGTGACACCATATGTTTGAACTTTCTACCGTACTCCTACAGTAAGAGAATGAGCGATCGGCGATTCGCTCTACACTGTAAATCTAAGTTGAACCTCTATAAAATGGTACCTAAAGCTTCTCGAAACACTTCACTGCAAGAGAGTTATATATTTACAATCAAACAGTGCGCACATTTTTTTGGGACACCCTGTATAAGTAAAAGAAAATTGGACTGAAGTGACATGCCAAGCAAGACATACTGACTACATAATTTAGAAGAAAAATTCCAGAGAAAGAGAGAAAAGTCCGTGAATTCAAAAGATGACTTACAAACTACTATAATTAGAAACTAAAATACGCGTATTATAATAGTAGAGTTTTGACTAAAAGAACCAAAAGGACCAGCTGCTTCATAGCTCACGTTTCATTTCCAAGCGAATCAAGCAAATATGGAAACTTGAAAGGCAAGTTGGGCTCACCTCCTCAATTTTGAGCGTCTCAAGAATTGGTGCACGTAGCAGATAGTCGAACACTTGGAAGACAAAGTTCACAAGTTCTCCTAAAATCCGATACATACTTATAAAAGTGATATGCAGAATATCAAAACAAATAAACAAACCGCAGAATATCAAAACAAATAAACAAACCATCTTTTCCGCCTCCAATATTCGCATACAAATCGGCCACAAAAGACAAAAACGAGATCCACATGCGGAAGTGATCAGCTCGTAGACGATCACGGCAATCGAAATATTGAGAGATGGAAGACATTAGTCCCTAGAAAAATCATAACTAACTATCAAGCCAGAAAAGTTTCAGCTCAATCTCACCTTATAAAGGGCATAAGCGGAAGGAGCATCTCGTAGTGCTCCACATAGCTTGGCGACCACACGGCCACCACCTCCTTCAATAGCATGCTGGCAAAGCGCAGAACCTACGCTTTCAGCCAAATCATCAGCCACAAATGCGCCTAGAAAATTTTCAAGTAAGTAGAGCAGAAGGCAAGAATACAATTCAAGGGGAAACAAAAACTCACTCGCTATCCAGTCCTCGATTTCAGTGACATTACCGCCAACTTTTAGAGCACGAAGTCCCGCCGCTGCATCAATTATTTCGCGCTCGGTCATCATTTTCTTCTATAAATTTCCAGAATCAAAACATCTATACATCAAAAAAGTTTTAGCTATCTACCTTTGGTTCCTTCTTTGGTGGAGTCGGCTGCTTGGGGCGCCTTTCCACATGTGGTGGAGCTCCAGTCTCCCTTCCTATGCTCACATGTCCATTTCCATGACCAGAACCAGACCCGGAGGATTTCTAGAAGCATCGTTCAGGATTTTATAGAATTCAAACCTAAGAAACCATGCTACCTGCGAAACAGCGCTCTCCGAACTAATACTACTCTCTGTTCGTCGAAGTCGTTGAGAGCTCTGCGAATGAGACGATTCCGAATGACGTGACGATGCGTCGCGATCCGATGTTATGTTCCGATAGTTATTGTTCTCTAGAGAACAGGACAATAACTAACTGTGACAGAGCGAAGACTGGAGCAAAACCAGCTTACTCACCCTCCATATGACTGTTCGATTTTCTATGTTGTAGTTGAGTGAGAGCAGAGGACGAATGGCTTCGTGTCCCCGCCGAAGGTTGAGGAGATGTACCCGAAGTGACTCCTCCAGCGGCAGAGGAGGCACTTCCATCATTACTGGACCCAGATCGAAGTCCTGGTAAAGAAATTTATAAAAAATGCACGAGAAATCATAACTCTACATTCGATTTGCTTTACTGGATGTACATAAAATTCCCAATCCACACTTCCACGCCCTTTCCCCCCTTCCACCGCCCCCACCCCCTCCCTCCCGCATCCTACAACCTCAAATGTTTTTTAAAGGCGCCGTCTACCCAGATTCTCGACTTCTATCTTGATTGTTCCGGGGCCTTCTCAAGTCCCTGATTCCAAATATGAAGTCGAGAATCCGCGAAAACTCCAACAATCCTCGTTCCGAAAAACCCGCAGGCCTGCTTTCCAGAACGGTGATTGGCGCTATCATCCCAGTTCTTTGTGCAATGCAATAAAAAACATTTACGAACATCCGCCAAGCTTTACACTGTCTCCAAACCACAGGAATTCAACACCCAGGTGTTCAAACTGCTCCGCGCTGTCTGTTCTCTTGCACAAGCTCTGTCAACAAGCAAATCCTCTCGGCAGACATCTCCAAACACATTTACGCCATCGAATAGCAATAAAAAGCAAAGGGACTTGTGCAAAGCTCTTGAATGATATGCAAATAAGGCATGGGATAAAAAAGTACAAACGCAAGAACAATTTCTCAGAAAAAGTGACTAATGCTGTTAATAGACTTACGAAAGCAGATGTTTGTGACTAAGCCGGCTTCACTTAAAAAACCAGTAAAGATTTATGCCAGCATTTGAACTAACAAGACTTATATGTCTACCACTTCACTGTTTTTTATTTCTATTGTTTACTTTTGAATTTTTTCTGTGTCTCCTCTTCGATTTCACTAGATCGTAATTTGAAATGTCTACTACTTTCGAGTATGAATCGTTGTCGTTTCAATGTTGGCAGAAACTGTAGGTAAAAGTCAGTGAATGTCAGGAACAGAAAGAGAATCTTCTGTATTCGATATGGCAGCTCTGTCTGTACGCACCATTACGAGGAACTGGAGGAAAAACCACAATTTCTAGTTTCTCACTGAGTAAATATTATAATACTGTAAATTTGTGAAAAAGAGCCAGCTTACATTGAAAGAATCTGCGAAATTCTGTAAACATCGAAACCCTAACCTAGCTCATTCATCCTCCAAAAATAACAATAAACTGAACGTAGCTATTGCAAAAATGTATGGAATGTTGCTAGAGTGCAGCTGAGTCATAGTGATCCTTTTTTGAAATTCAATGATTCACGGAAAGAAATAAATGCTACGACTGATGTAAGCAAGTATACATTATTTGCAGGATCTATCGTTCGTATTGAATTCTTCAATGTGAATGCTCTATTATGAACTGAATGTTGTTCATCACTGTACCCTAAACGCCGTACACATCCAAGTATCAGTTAGAGTTAACTTTTGCAATACAGAACAATTTTCGCAGAAGATAAAACAGTTGTACTCCAAATTAAGGAAGACTGTCACTACAGGTAAACTATTGTGAGTTCAAAGTTAGACTCGTACGGTGACCAAAAGATCACTATGCAGTCATCGGTTACCTGGGAATAGGACGATAACACACACATGACATGATAATTAAATTCAACACTCATACATTTTTGAAGGATAGATATTGAGTTCGACTAAACGCACAAAATCACTTAACTAAAAAGTACATTAATACTCAAGAATGAATACGATAGTAATGTCATACTTCACCAACGCACTTTTCTCTGACCATAGTTTTTTGATCTCATATGTGAATGTTTCAATGTCAAGCATATAATATCGCCCTAATTTGAGAAAAAATCACCGCACTTCGCCGGAGTTCGCCGAACTTCGCGTTGCATTGCCATATCTTGCTTCTCAAACCACCATTCAACTCAACTCGACAAAGTGCATTTATGATATACAAAAGTGCTTGTTTGGCACAACAGTCGGCAATTTCAAGGATTTTCTCAAATTTTCGTTTGCAGGTTTATCGCTGTGCTAATCAAACATTCCGAATAACCTTGGTGAGCAAGTCTGGAGCGATCCGTAAAATTTGACCGACTATCGTGCTCAAACAAGCACTTCTACATACTGAAGATTCACCTCGTCAAGAGTTAAACAGTGCTTTGAATTCAGAATTCGTCCACTTTGAAGAATGATTTCTTACACAAGTTACGAGCGGATTGTACGAAGATTTCTGAGGATTTTCGTCTACAAAATCACGAATCCTCTATTTTTGCCGTTGAATGAGCCAGAAGAAAGGCTTGAGAAGTTGCAAAATTTAGAATTTCAGAAATTTAGAGATCAAGACACTATAAAAGGGACATATCGTCTTCCACTCTTTTATGAAGTACACACTACTGCGACATTCACTTAGGAGTCTCTAAGTGAGAAAAAAAACCGTATGAGCTACTACATTATCTTTTAATTACTGGAAGATTTATTGCTTCAAATAACGCACTTGCGTTTCCATAAAAGTCACAACGAGAACAGCTACAGTATGTAGTGCATAAACACTTGGTAAAATTGATAGCTTTCAAACCAAAAAAACATAGACTAGTCAAAAACTGCCCAGACCGAAAACTATCGAAAAAAAAACAAACGAAAACGAGGTTAAGTTTGCGCCGCACATTCTGAACCCCCAAATTTCTGGGCGCTAATGAAGCGAGAACCTTCTATCCGAACCCCGAACTCGCATTACGTAGACTAACATACTCAAGCACCTCACTGTCGATGTCATAAAACTATTTGCACACAAGCTTAAATCCACTTGCGTTATGTCGCACAGACAAATCGGATCATCAAACAGCCAGCGTTCATCCAATCATTACAGTCTCCACCTATGTTCTTCGTAAATCATTTCCAAAAAAAGAACACAATCCTACGTCCTATTTTAGCTCGCAAACTCACCAATCACTGCCACTGACATGATCGCTTTGTTACACTCAGCAAGTATGAAAAAAGCCTGTAGATACTGGCCTAGAACAAATATCGTCTAAGGATTGCTTAGGAAAAAGTGACGATCGCGACACAGGAACACTTAGATTTACGCAAGCAAAAGAAAAGCCGCGACACTTGAGAAATGAGAGCAACAAGGCGCAAAAACGACATCGGAAAGGAGAGAAAAAGAGCGAGTTGAGTTTACCAGACTCGCTGACGAGAAAAAGTGGGTCTTCATCGACATTATCATGATAGACTACATCAATCTCAACCCTAACGGAAACGAGAAAAATAAATTGCCAGAAATCCGGTTTTTTCCTCGTAACGGTAGGAAACCATTGCAGATTCGATCAATGCGAAACGGAGTCAGTTGGAGCCAATAGACACAGGGCTCTCCCGGGGCCACACAGGTCTAGTCGCGAGGGCAACGAAAATTATGGATTCCGTGCCGGGGAAATTTATGCGACGATGGAAGTGCCGATGGATTACTCTACTGTCATGAATGTAACAAGGACACGAGACGGAATTATCCTATTTCCGAATGGGCCGTCGTGTTGTGAAACATAGGCGAAATGATGAGCGGTGCATGCTGTGCTCGGTGAGATTTGTTACACTCGTAACATGAGAGTACGCATGAAGTTGGGCAAAGAGGATTTCTCTGTAAAGCTCAGAGCACAGAAAGTTCCAGTTTTGGGGTCCAGGGGCCATCCATATGGTAGGTACAGCAATTTTACGGCTATTATTGTGAAAATTGAAAGCGTACAATGATCAGATGAAGGCCAAATTGGCGAGTGAAGGTCGACAGCACGTACAGTACCTACTCATGGCATTTGCTGCAATTTGTATTATTATAGGTTAATGCGTAATTCTTGCACCAAAAAATAATTTGAAGAATGTTTCAGATGTATAAAGAAAACAGTTCTTACAGCGCTCTTTGTTATGCATAGCAAATGTGTTGATTTATCGTGCATTTCAAAGAACCAAATCTAACAAAATCAATAGTCGAATAAAAAATCCAGAAAGTATGAGCGATCTAGAGACGTCTGATCACCACAAACTTTCCTATTGTCAGTAAAAAAGCGGTCATGATTTTAATCGACTAAGCAATTTTAACGAAAATATTTCAAAAAACCAAAAGAGTATTTTTTGCTAAAACAGCTATCCCTGCCATATGCCATCGAAGAATTCTGATTCGAGCAAATTTGGAAAGCGCAAGATTTCGTAATGGAAACTACAATAAACTGTAGGCTAACCTAACCGACGCAAAGGGTAATGGTAAAACTCTACTCCCAAGAAATACACTCATTGGTCAGGATAACCTGCCAATCTTGTTTCGCAATTGCGCCGTAAAAGAGTAAAAAAGCTCGCTCAATTCGTGAAAGTATGAATCAACCAGTAGTTTCGTAACGGCCACTCTAGCGTAAGAAGAAGAGTGAAGAATGAAATCTGCAGATTTTGATGTCTAAGTTGGCACTCAGAAAGGGGTCTTCGAAAAAGGGGCGATAACGTTTAGAGCAAGCAAGATTTTGGGAATTTGCCCTGATTGTTCACATGCCTTTCGGCAAACTTTAGAGGGAGCAAGTTTTTGCAATTTGCTTTGATTCTTTACATGTTTTTTGATAAATGCATGTATTAGATATTCCCATGTTCCCATGTTAGTTTGGAATCCAGAGCATTTTGATCCGTGGTTGTTTTTCTAATTCCATATCACTTAAAATTTCAGTGAAACTGGTATCATGTTTGTTCGAGTTGTTGTTTTTCGGTGTACTCGGTGCAATAGTAAATAAAACAGAACTAGATAAAATAGAATTCCTGCCTGAACATGCTCAGTAGTACTCCAAGTACTTACAACAATCAGAATTACTAGAAACTCTACTTCTCCCACCGTTTCGACTGCAGTAATTCCAGTTTTCCTTCATCGCCAAAAAATTGTACTTAGTTGGTGCAAGTGCAGTACATCGACAATTTAGCGCACAAGTAAGATAATGCGATTGCACTAACTTAGCCTTCATTTACTCTTCACATATTGTTTTTTAACGGAGGTTTTCACACTGAAAAAATAGAAAAGATACACGTTCACAACTGCAGGGGTTTATTATCCATCATTCGCACATATTTCAAACGCCTCTAACACATTTGAATTGGTTTCATTTATATTTTATTTTGTTTTCAGAAATTCTCTCAATTCATTTTTTTTCTTACATTGGGTCTAACCCAAAGTTGTTAACACCATTTCAAATATCGTAGCTTTCTTCTCTCATGGTAGTCTTGCTCGGCGTAGATACCGTTACAAAGAAAAAAGCATACACTTTCTAATGACACCTTGCTTGCTCTTTACCAAACTTTGTTTGCAGAGATAAAAATGGAGAAAGAAGATCATTCCAATTTAGGCAGTTTCAGACAAGTCCGTTAAAAATCCAGAAACTTTGCAAAAAAAATCCAAAACACTCAGCGTCATAAGCATTTTTACTTCCTCTTTCAGACTGATCTGAAAGAGGAAGTAAAAACACACAACATTTTGCACCAATCGAGCTATAGTTGGAAAAATTATGATTTTTGAGGAAAAATGCCAAAAAATTAATCTTCTTAAGAAACTGATTTATGGCATATTTTCTCAAAAATTATAACTTCTCAAAGAAAAGCTCGAATAGAGCAAACTGGACTAAGCTAAAAGAAGAGGTCGGAAAACTAGGTGTATAACGGCTGTTTTGGATTTTATTGCAAAGCTTTTGAATTTTCAATGGCTTGCCTCAAATCGCCGGACATCGGAAGGTTTTTTTATTCTTTCATTTTTATATCTGCAATATGAGCTTAGCCGAACATTAGGCAACCGTTAGAAAGTACTGATTTACGCTTTCAATGGAATTTGATTCGAGCAGAATCCTTGTGATAAAAAGAAATTGGGATTTTTTGCAAACGCGCGGACGAACTTTCGGTCCAAACTACTATTTTATTTCTCACAATGTTTTATAACTTTTCTTTTCTTTTTTCTACAAAATCCTGATGACCACCGCCGACTTTCATGAGTTGTATGCCTTATTTGTGCAAGAAAAAATACACAGAATTTAATCGCCGAAGATTTCTCAGCCAGTAAAACAGAACCCTGTATTCTTTCAATGCTTTGCAACTGAGCCCCGCTGATAAATGAATAAGAACAGCCCCATGTTATAAATCTCCTCGCTGTAGACAAATCACCCGTTACTGCTAATATATTGGGCTGCCGAACACATAAGAAAATTTCCAAAATTTCAGCTCTCCAGAGCCGGATCACTTTCTAAGCTCTCAAGCTGTACGTTCTGTAATAAGTAAAGTATGAGTCCTTAAGCCTCTTAGGATGATAAAAATCACAAGATTAATCCGTACAGGAAGACTTGATCGTTCTTTCGAATGTGCAGCGAAATCTAAGCCGCAAAAACTGTCACTTCATCAGCTGAGAGATACAGAAGGTAAACTGAAGCAGACGTAACGAAAACACCTAATTCGATAAAAGGCTTTGACTTGTTGCAGCTTAGACTGTTTTCTTCAGGTTTCTGCGACAGAGCAGCGCGTGAGGTCTTGCTATGAAGTCGAAATTCAAAAATTCGTTTGAAAAATTAGAAAAGTCTTCCATATGCTGCTAACATCTAAGATCTCAGACAACTGACCAAAACTTCCCCAGAACGTTTGGAAAAGTTCCGCCGGGTCCAGCGGAAGTTCCGAAATGAGGTGCTGCGGATGTTCTGAAGAATGCGAACCATCACAACAGCAAGAGAGAACACCCTAGCGAGATTACAACGTTGTTATATTGACTGTGAGACTCACTCATTATCCTTTGCATGGATAAGTAAAAGGCAACACAATTGAAGTCCTGCGGAAGTACTGCAAATGAAAGTACTGCGGAACCGCTGGCATTTTTTGGAATTTCCGCAACATTTTGTAAAAAGCCCTGCGAAATTTCCGAAACCACTCTGACGTGAAAATCCTGCGGAAGTTCCCCTTAAGCGCTTCCACTTTTGCAACAGTAAACAAAATCCTGCGGAACCACTGCAGATTTTGCTTATCTCGCGGAAGTTCCGGTGATGTGAGATTACGATCAAACAAACTAATATTAGTCTGCAAACTCTGAGGTATATTTCCAGACAGTGCGGCCAAAATTATGCGCTACACGAGCAACCACCGTTTAAACCAAAGATGAAGTTCTGTAAGCAAAGTAAAAAGACAGTCCCGGGTCAGTCATTCTTTTCACTCATTTTCACTCCCTCTGGGTCTACCCTTACTACCTTTTCCAAAAAGTGCGTTCAAATACCTGCGATCTAGCTCCTGTACAGATCGAAAGCTAAATAAAGATAGATGAAACAAAGATAGAGAGCTCATTATCTTTTCTCAGTCCAAAATAAAAATAAAACTCCGCTCTTTCCATCGCACTCTCTATCAACGAAAAAAATTGAGCGCTGCTTGAATAACAACATTGCAGAGACAATCATTACTCATGGAAAGAACAGTGGATTTGCATCGAAAAACTCTCATGTGTAAAGTAGATAAGAAGGATGCGGACGAATGTTTGGGAATGATAGGAAAGGTGGCATTAATCGAAAACATCTGTTTCATGGAGCTCCGTGGTAAGATCTATGTGTTTTGCTGAAGTCTACACATTGTGAACAGCTTGAGCATTCAGGGCTAAGATCTAGAAAGCTAGAAAGTTATCGATGTGGTAACTTTACCGACAAACAATCAGAAGTAAGCATTTGACTAAAGGAATCTTTATGTATAAAAATTTGCACTCAATTCGAACCCTGATAGGCAATGCTATGAGTTTTTCAATCGGAAAACAGCTTTCAGCACTTCAAAATCGATTTCTATCTACTCGTACGAATCAGAAAAAATTCGCTAGATTATCATTCTTCGCAAGTGATCAATATTTCCCGGCAAGTTTATTTCTGCTCATTTTTTATCACCTTTACAGTGGAGATGATCAAGTTCTATAGGAACGATATCAATCGCACTCCATCTCTTTTTTGATTACCTACTGCTGCAATTTTTTTATCAGCTGCGCTTTTCTCCTCTTGCATCATGACATCTCCCCCTCCCTCCCTTCTCCAACTCCTTACCCTCCCATTGGATGAACATAACTTCCCGTTTTGATTGTGACGCATTCATTATTGGGTATAATTAAGATTAGGTAGTAGGCTAAGAATAAGCGCAAAACCCGATTCTTGGTAGCAAAGTGGAGAAAATTTAGGTGTTTTTTTAAAAGGTCAAATTCGAAATTTCAAAGGTCAAAAACCAAAAATGGAGCAGTTCTCAGTCTGAATCGAAAAGCGAAAACCATATAGATCGTTTATTCCTTTGTTAACAATCTGGGTAAAGTTTTGGCTTGATGTGTTTGAGTCAGAGTGAAAACGGCTTTATTCTTGGTTTTTTGACCCTTGAATTTTTGAATTTCACCAGCTTTCGAAAAATATGTAAATGTTCTCTATTTCGCTACCAAAAATCAGATTGTTCGCGCATATCTGTAGCCCTACTATCTAGTCTGCCAAGCCCAAAAAATGAATGCGTCACAATCAAGAAGAAAGTTACAAAATTAGCTGCAAAACTTATGAGCCAACCTGATATTTTCGAAAAAAAAGGAAGCACATATTCCGATTACTTCCCCCTCCCCACTAGATCTCCTCCATTCCAGCAACTCCCACAAACATAGGTGCGATAGTGTGAGAATTTGCTCACCCCCCCCCCCCCCTTCACCCCTGAGCCGGAAACCAAGGTGACCCCCTTCACCAAAACCGACAAAAAAAATCAATAGTGAGGTAAGGTTATGCCTGATAAAATGACCACGCTATCAACCTATTTGTAGGCTCTACAGTCAAGAAGCAAGTGAAGGGCAATCGTGGCATTCTTCCAGCTATGTCCTTAGACCGATTTTATGAGGACCGATTTTATAAACAGTCTGAAAAAGTGAGTGTGGTCAAAATTATTGGATGGTACACAAGTGCAAAACTGAGGTTTTTGCAGGCGTAATGTTCGAGAAGGAAAGGTTATACAACGCTTGTCACTTGCTTCATACGAATATGGGATGCAGGACCGGACCGACCGATGACTATATTCTTGTCTTAATGTTGCCGTTTCATGCTTTGTAATTTAATGAAAATATTGAAAGTTGACGACTATCAACTATTGTGAGGCCATCAGAAGTTGTAATAGAAAGTGGTTCTGAGAAGTGTGATAATAGGAAGTATCAAAAATTATGAATGATGAAGCACGTAGAAAGAAGTAAAATATTGTCTGCCCAGGAAACTCCGAAAGATACAGTAAAATTATTGCATGTATAAATGGCCATTCTTGGTAAATGTGCACGTAAATGGTAAGAAGGAAACACACGGGAGCAGGATTGGAACCTTCTCGTTATCTTCTAAAGAAGGCATTGGATGACAATGGAAGAAACAAGGACAGGAAAATCGGAACGCCTGACTGCCACGAAAAATTTATTCCGCTGAAGACTACTGGACACTGTGTAATACTGAACTTGTTAAATTCGGCAATTGGAAAAATTAGGGTTGTTGAAACAAAGTGAGGTTGTAACTACTTCTTGTTCAAATTTAGATTTAGCATAGGAGATATTTGTACGAAAATTGTTTGTGTATCGGAAAGGAGGGAGAAGATTTATAGGCAAAATTTGAAAAAATTCAATTAAAAATTTATAACGTTTGCAGATGAACAGCTAGTACAAGGAAATGCTCACCATTGAAACCGTTTCTTCCTCTGCTTTCAGAAAATATATAGTTTGTCTGGGATCCGTTGAAAAAAGTGCGTGGTGAAGGGGGTGCCTAGTGATTTCTGGAGATTTTCGAGTTTTCAACATAAAAAAATTCATAACTTCTGTAGATGAACAGCTAGTACAAGGAGATGCACACCATTAGAACCGTCTCATTCTCCGCTTTCAGAAAATATATAGTTTGTAAGGGATCCCTTGCAAAAAGTGCCTGGTGAAGGGGGGGTGAGAATTTTATAACGGGAGTTCTCAGGCAGAGGCCTTTTCACCATTGTAAAAAGACGTCTACCTGAGAACTCCCGTTATAGAATTCTCACCCCCCCCCCCTTCACCAGGCATTTTTTGCAAGGGATCCCTTACAAACTATATATTTTCTGAAAGCGGAGAATGAGACGGTTCTAATGGTGAGCATCTCCTTGTACTAGCTGTTCATCTACAGAAGTTATGAATTTTTTTGTGTTGAAAACTCGAAAATCTCCAGAAATCACTAGGCACCCCCTTCACCACGCACTTTTTTCAACGGATCCCAGACAAACTATATATTTTCTGAAAGCAGAGGAAGAAACGGTTTCAATGGTGAGCATTTCCTTGTACTAGCTGTTCATCTGCAAACGTTATAAATTTTTAATTGAATTTTTTCAAATTTTGCCTATAAATCTTCTCCCTCCTTTCCGATACACAAACAATTTTCGTACAAATATCTCCTATGCTAAATCTAAATTTGAACAAGAAGTAGTTACAACCTCACTTTGTTTCAACAACCCTAATTTTTCCAATTGCCGAATTTAACAAGTTCAGTATTACACAGTGTCCAGTAGTCTTCAGCGGAATAAATTTTTCGTGGCAGTCAGGCGTTCCGATTTTCCTGTCCTTGTTTCTTCCACTGTCATCCAATGCCTTCTTTAGAAGATAACGAGAAGGTTCCAATCCTGCTCCCGTGTGTTTCCTTCTTACCATTTACGTGCACATTTACCAAGAATGGCCATTTATACATGCAATAATTTTACTGTATCTTTCGGAGTTTCCTGGGCAGACAATATTTTACTTCTTTCTACGTGCTTCATCATTCATAATTTTTGATACTTCCTATTATCACACTTCTCAGAACCACTTTCTATTACAACTTCTGATGGCCTCACAATAGTTGATAGTCGTCAACTTTCAATATTTTCATTAAATTACAAAGCATGAAACGGCAACATTAAGACAAGAATATAGTCATCGATCGGTCCGGTCCTTCATCCCATATTCGTATGAAGCAAGTGACAAGCGTTGTATAACCTTTCCTTCTCGAACATTACGCCTGCAAAAACCTCAGTTTTGCACTTGTGTACCATCCAATAATTTTGACCACACTCACTTTTTCAAACCGTTTATAAAATCGGTCCTCATAAAATGAAGTTGTGAAAGGAACGATGCCGTTCCTGGCGGCGCGTTGTGTGTAATTGCACACCCACATTCACACACGCACTCACCCCCCCCCCCCACCCCCTCTGACCCCCTTCACCCTGGAGGGGCTGCGACCACCGTGACCCCCTTCACCCTGGAGAGGTCATTCTCACCTTATCGCACCTATGCCCACAAATACAACCAGTCCAACTTGCAAGTTCTACGACCACTAACAAAAACTGAAAATAAAATAAACATACCAGGTGGTTTATAGATCTGCAACGCAGGCCTGTTCGAGGGCTTCTTGGTGTGGCGCGATTGCTTATCGCCATCCTCCACAGAGGTGACGTTCTGAAATAAAAACAATTAATCAGCTGATGAATAATTGATACGATTTCGAAGTTGTTGGAAAAATTCAAGACAGCATTCAGAGAAGCATCTTCTACTCCAGAAGATTCATGAAACAATTACCATATGGGGAGAAATGTAACACTTCGAAAGATGGAAGGGAATCTAGTTTCCCAGAGTAGTGCTAACTTTGACTACAAATTCAGAGCCCTCTCTCAATACGTCATATGTATGCGTGATGAAAAGATCGATATATTATGCTAAAATATCGAAACAATATCCATAAACATTGCAACAATTCATGATTGTATAGGTGATAATAAAAGTATCAGAAAAAAATTATAGTTCAAAGCAAAATAAAAAAACAAATCCCTAGATTTCTAATCCTCCTAAATCTCAACAAAAAGGTAAATATTGATCGAAAAATACTAACCACTTCAAAACTGTTCTCATCACAGAGTACAGCACCCTGCATCGCTGTTGCTAGGAATGAACTAATTTTTGATACGACTATTGATTGTATTAGAGAGGGTTGTGTTTTCTCGCGCCGGATCGCGGCCCGCCCATCGGGGTATGAAACCCCTATTTATCACAGACGAACGCTCATTTTCAGCAAGCACGTTCCGGCTGCCGTGTGCTGGCTGCTGTACTTCCAGTCGACTGCTCTTATATGAAGTCAGAAGAAAACATCGTATTCTCGAGGAAATGCTATAGGTTTGACGCTTCCGCGTAGTCATTTATGCATTCATTACATGCAGTAAACCATATGCGTTAGCGAAAAAAAGCAGTGCATTCTTACGTCGTATAATATAGCTCTGGAAGTTACGATCGATGTTACAGGATGCCACGCACTCAAGTATAACAGTAAACAACGCAGAGTATGATGGAAACTAGGCTAGAAATGAGGCTGTTATCTATGACAGTTGTAGGCACACTATGATAATGAAGTGCGAATGGATGTAATTTTGATGACTACAGTTACTATCAAGTCTGTAAACCTATAACAGATAGCCAGTGATCTTGACTACTCTCAGATGGGGTCTCCTATAGCATGAAAAACAAAAAAAATATTACCTTATTACAAGTCTAATGTAGAGCAAAAAAAATTTAATACCTCAGAAATGTCCTCAAAAAAAGTTGTACGCAAGTGGACCGTGAAGAGAAGTCACTAAGATTTGCTAATTTCTCTTGCTACCATGAAAAAATCCTTTGAGTGTGGTGCAAGAGGAACGATAGCAATCTCCAGGCGCGCCGCCTACTATGGCGATGCACTATTTGCCTCACAGAGCGCACCTAGCAAAAACGAATGGTATTTTTGATCTTCCCGAAAATCTTCATGACTCTAAACTTCCATAGCGAAAAATTAAACTATGGGCTCGACTTGAAATGAATGCTCAACTCAACAAGTTTTCAAGTCTCGGAACTCATTGTCAGTGATAAGTGCAATTAGGCAATGCAAATGCAAAAAGTATTTCGAAGTCTCCCCCTAAAACTATTTTTCGAGTTTCTAACCTATTCTCTCACCTCATTTTCAAATAATAAAACCTAATTATCTTGTCTAATTGAAAGCTAACGTTTCGCCGAAAATGGAGGACAGAAATGAGGGTAAAAGATGCGCGCCTTATTGACACCTACCTATGGTTCCTCTTGCTCGCCGCCCTTCTGGCGAACGGCGCCAATTATGGCCAATTTGTACAGATGTTACATAATCTCTTCGCGCTTAAGTCAACATATTCCAAAAACTATAATTACCATCAAAAGAAACTAAGCATACAGTAAAACAACCAAAGATAAACTAAAAATGTTCCGCTTAGAAAAAAAGTACGATTCCCTTTTTATATGCATCGACTGATCAAAAAAGGAAAATAGAAAAATATGAAGAAAAATTACAAAAAAAGTGAAAAAAAGTGACTCCACGAGATATAAACAAAAATGATCTCATCAATAGCTTGGACATAATCTCGACCCCAAAGACAAAGGCATCTCAACTGCTTCTGTTAGCGAAACAACATGAAATATGCGTAAAAAATAAATTATGCCACTCCCCTAAGCACTCTCCACTAGGACAGCGCGCACTAAGAACATCTTTTGAAAGGAGAAAATTGTTTCACGTGACTTTTACTGGCCATAGCGCACAAAGGACACTTGCGAAACTCTCAGGTACATGCACCTCACTGTCAACCCTCTCAACCTTTGTCTCACTCTTCGACAGTTTACCTGTGGCAGAAAACTGGTCCTAGAAGCGCTGCAGCGATTTAAATCTTACGAAACTTTTGGGTGAGTCACTCACAATATGTAAATTCTGCGCTAAACTAGAAGCCATTGGGGGAGAATTCTTCAAATTCCACAAAAACATTCTTGAGTAGCGTCGAAAGACAAATATAACGCAATTCTTCATGGAATGTCTGGACGTAATGCGTAATGGGCTTGAGGCGCTTAATGCACGATGATCAAATGCATACAAACGATCTTGAATAACATTTGAGAATATTGGTTGATGGTGTTAGCTTTAATATGCGTCAAATCAGATCAATTATTATATCCGAAGCATTTTACTTCAAATTTCACAAATTTACTATAATTCAATATTTGCTTTCATGGATAAGAAAAAGTTTCACGATAGCTCTAGCTCCCTACTCCCATACCAAGCTACATGAACTATGACAAGAGCGATTTTGGCGATGCCTAGCGGCTAAAATTTGCTCCGCTGCGCTCTTCTGCGTGCTGCAGGCTACTGTCTTCGTCTCAAACATAGTATGAACCGAGCTATCAAAGCGAGAAAAATTCTTCTGAGGTAGAAACCCAGCCGCCTTTCTCACGGATTCTTCTGCATCACGATTACATGTGCAATGAAGATGTAGGCAGTCAAGAAAATTGCACATTTGCTGATGAAAGAAACCTAATATATGAGCAAATATAATGATGCAATAATATGAATGAAACTAAATACATAATATAAATGTACAAAAAATAAATAATATAAATGCATAAAAAATGCTGATGAAAGAACACAACCACATGACGATAATCAAACATCGTTTGATAATTTTGGCTGATTCAAAAAGCTTACGATTAGCACAAGGACGTCTGAATATTTTCTATACTGACTTCGTTTGCATTATTGCTCATGACACTTCTGCAGAGAAAACCCAAAAGCCTTACAGGGACAAAACATAAGTCCTCTTCTCCTCATCCTCTAAGAAGGTCTAATGTTTGCCTTGAGATGATGGTTTTCTTTTTGTGACCGAACGCATGACTGCAAAAGATCTCTAACAACATCGTGACGTCGAAGCTAGGTTTTTCCAAAGCTTTCAAGCTAGTCTCTCCACAAATCAAATCACTAGCCCTCTGTTCAACGCAAACACTCACATCCCCTATGAGTCGGGTGTCACGCCGACAACGATAAGTACTTGAAATTCGAGTGGAGACTGAGATCTGAGCTGAGTAAGCGCTGAGCTGGACAACAGCTCACATTACAATGGCCAGTTTATGATAGATGTTGCCGACAAAAGAGAGGGAGAGCGCGCGCAGGAAGCATATTTGATGAATTGAGATAGATGAAATGCATACCTGAGTCGGTTGTTGCGTATCCTGGGTAGAACTCATTTGCTTCTGTAGCTCACAGAATACACGTCACGTCAGGCCACTGGCCACACCACCCTAGAACAGAGAACCAATTTCAAAGCTTGCCACTTACTCTTCACAGTAGTCAAAACGGAGATACCGGGTTAGTCGCAGATTTGACGGTTAGCATAATGCCTCTGTGGCGCTGAACAACGTGCGTGGAGAACGGCCACGGGGCGCAAAACTTGAAAATGTGCGCTCCATTGCCATTTTTTAAGCGCAAGTGTTCTTGGCATTACAAACACGATAACTGTTGGTACTGCAGAGCACGACAACAAGTCAAATGTAGTGGACCGTAAATTTGAATAAAATCATAAGAATAATGCGAGTTCATGTACAAAAAACAACCTTTGCAAAAGACGTGGTCATGGTTCTCTTAAGTTCTAGATAGTGCAATTTATGCTGTTAAAAAAATCAGCAAACATTCAAAAGGCTGGTAAAGCTCAAAAAAATGCGAAGGAAGAGTCAGCGTCGATTCGATGAGTGGAAGAAATGAAAAAAAAGAGCCGTAAAAAATTGACGAGAGTGTTCAGAGAGCAGGCCTGATTCTATAGATAGAAAATCTTAGCATGACAAAGGAACATTCCGGAAATGCTGAAACCTTTAGTCTGAGGAATGCTGGAAACCAGCACAGCAGCTGTTTCAAGACAGCACACTAGGAGGAAGCCTATCGTAAATTAGACTGGCAAAAAACTTATTGGGCGGCATGATGGATGTGATGACCATGCGGAAGATGTGATTGATAATGCAGCTATGATTCATGGCTCGAAAAGAAACGAGACACGCTCAAAATGAATGCATTAAATATAGAAGACTACAGCCTAGTCGCCAAAATTACAGAAATTTTTCCATAACCCTTACTTTCGAAAAATCCGTCAAAAACTCTTGAGAGATGATGAGAATACGAGACAGCCCCTTTAGGATCAGGTGACATCTGTCACCAGGTAGGACAGCTCTGAGCAAAACGAGTCAGTTTTACAACAACATCCTGAGCATGAAAACCGATGCGAATCAATAATTACTGAAATATCAACATTGTCGTACTAAAATGTAAAAAAATAGTTGCTAGAACTTGCACATAAGCACAAAAAAAGAAGGAAAGGGAAGTTGATTTAGAGAAAAATGAAAGACTTGCCTTATTAAGGCCAAAGAAAAAGGTAAACATGATAACTAATCCAAGGCTAAAAATGCAATTCAAATACTTACGACAGTTAAAAACGCAGAGAATTGCACAGAGCTGTGCGAAACGACCTCGTCTCCAAATCATAGTAGCTATCCGCGCATCAGCTGTCTGTTTGCTCCGCTGATTCAATGACAACAACAAGGCCACCTATCTCCTAGTCAAACAGTCAAGTATTAAAACTGATTAATCGTTAAGAGAAGACCAACAAAGCATTTTCTTCCAATTATTTTGCTTCCAGACGATAAATGAGAAATTCGCTGGACAATTCGTATAATTATATCTTGTTCTAATCTCTTTATAGCGCAGAGGCAAGCATGAAAGCAAGCAAACAAGTTGAATAGAGCTTAAAATTTCGAAAAAAAACTCCTTGTCGGTTTTGTCACAAGACCAAGATAAGCCATGAAAACATGCAGTGCTACTTTCCTTTCGAACCTGATCGAAATTGGCGCATTCAAAATACAGAAAAAGAACAGAAGCAAAGCTTGACAGATGGGATGTTCCATCAGATTAGCTGCTATTCGATCAGCTTACGTTACGAAAAAGTCGCACAAGCGCGAGTTTTTCTTCAAAAACGAAAAAAAGCTTTTTGATCAATGAACATTTCATAGATGATGGAAAGCTGCAGTACAAATGGAATCACAGATGAATATACGCAAAGCAAGAACTGCATCTTCCATTATATTGTCGTGGCTAATTTATTTGACAACAAATCAATAAATTTCAACTGTTTATCATCGTAACTGCTAGAACAGTGATGTAATAACTAATTTGACAAACATATTACAACGGAAATATGACGTAACTGCACAAAACGACAAATCAATACTCGTGCGAGTAGACGTGCATAATCGCAACGGTAAAAAACTGCCGATTACTTTTCTACGCGCTCGAGCGCATTTCCAGGCTTTATGAAACTGCTCGGCTAATCAATAGGGCCCGGGAAGTCACTAACAAGTTTACATGAGCAAAAAGAAAGTGATGAAGAGCAAGCGTTAATGATGAGAACTGGAATAGGAGGGCTCTGATAAGTGCAGCGCGTTATACAACGACGACGAGGAAGAAATGTGAACTAATGGAACGCGCGGGCGGCGAGCGCCGAGGAAGCACGGACGCTTATCCCTCAGCGAGCGACTGGAATCATAGACCCTCTTGAGAATGTCAAACAACGGGTCTTGTGGCGAGAACACAACAATGTGCTTAGCTAATAGAATTCCGCTAAAGATGGTGATACTTTTGAGGAATAATGTTGTAGTCCTTTCACAGGGCAACACTTACGCACAGAAGGATTCATCCATTTTGAGGCTAGAAGACTCCGGAACGCGTTGCACAATCTCTAAACAACAAGCTTAACTCTATAGGACCTGGTGGTGGCAATTGTCACCATCAACTTCAAAGGGCACTAAAGTTTCCATTACTTGTTGCTACACGCTCTTGAGACACCTTTGCCTACATGAGGGTAGGGACCTGTATGGCATTCCCATAGGTAGGTGCCAGACTAGGCGATTATTTTGTTCAGCGGCAAAAGGCGCACAGTGAACGTTAATTCTGCGCGGGACCTGCAGCTGAAGCAGGTCCCAAGGGAATGGTCAGTAGTCGAAGAGGCCAAACCAAACAAGCTGTGTACCATCCGATGCAGTATAAAACGCTAACTTCGAATCTGTCTTCCTTATCTGCTTATCGCTTCTATGGACGAAGCTACAAGCGGTTTTATTGTTAAAAAATAATACGTAAAAACAGCGAAGTTGAGCACATTGTTGCACTTTTAGCTCAGCTTCTGGCTTTGAAAATTTGAAGTAAGCTAGCTGCATGTTTTGGCCCAGCATTGAGGCGTGCTCTATACGGCTAAATTTTCAATTTCAATTTCACGCATAATTTCTCAGCAAAATAATGGTTTTAAAGGCAGCGGCTCGGCAGATTTTTAACTTCGGGGTTTTGACAGATTTGGGGCTATTCCGGGCCTCTGAATCACGATATGAACTCCCCTTAGCGCGAAAATGGGGGAAAGCCCCGTCTTTTAAAACCCTCTTGAGACGGGCGCGGACGAGTCAGCCGTATTTTCCTGCCGTCAGAGACGCAGAGTGAGGAGGTAGAGAGCGCTAGAACAATTCTGCCCTACGAAGCTACGAGTGAGGCGCGTTTTCTAGCGGATAACACACTCGTCCGAACAAGGTGTTAGGGGAGCGAAAGGAGGAAGGGGAGCGGCGCTTGGGCCGCCTCCCTGGCTTGCAGAGTTCACATTTCCGGCGCGGAGTTGCTGTTTTGGTTCACTTGGAGGGCCTCCTATCCATCGTGTCAAAATCTGAGGTATGTTCTGCCAAGCTACTGCCTTTAAATGGCTTATAGCGTCGTCTAGAAAAGCGATAAGCAGGTAAGGAAGACAGATTTGGAGTCAGCGTTGCATGCTGCATCTATGCGTATGCAGCTTGTCTGGATTGGCCACTTCGATTTCTGATCATTCCCTTGTTAGCAGCAGCAGACATTATGCAGCAGACATTAATTCTGCGCGCCTTTTGCAGCTGAACAAAATAGTCGCTTAGTTTGGCGCCTACCATACTTGATCCGCTTGATCCGCTTCATGCAAAACGCAGGTCATTAATTTGTCATTTGGCGTCGTGTACAGCGAATCTGCGTAACCATACAAAATTCTTTTTTACCTACACGGCGCCAAATGACAAACTGCTGTGTGCGCTCGTTTTTCACGAAGCGGATCAAGCGGATCAAGTATGGCGGTACGTATGTTCTGAATAAAAAATTCCATTTCTGAACCGATTCGGACCAAACTTGGCACATATACACTTCGAGGCGGGGCGGGTATTATAGGCTACTTTTCGTCACCAATCGATATCGATTTTATCGATTTTAATCGATTTTTTATAACGTTTGATCTACGGGGCTGGAAGCTGGCAGAGGAGGTAATCGAGCATGCTGATAACGAATACAATATTAGTTTTAAAATCGTCCATTACTTTTATCCATTTTTATCAATTTTCTTGCAAGGTTTGAACTATGGAGCGAGTTGGCGCAAGAGGTAAGTAAGCATGCTGATTAGGAAAACAAAACGGGATAGGAAACTGGCATGTTGAAATGGGTACAGGGAAAGGTTGTACAGGATAGGGATGGCGACACTTATCACAGTGTTTTGAAAGGACCTGGCGGAGCCGGGTATGCCAGCTAATAAATAATATTTTCTATTTATTTTCTCCATAAATCTCCCTCTTAGAGGGAATCCGGCTGGTTAGTCGCGAGGCTACGTGGGGTGTCTCCAGGTGGCGGATAAGGGGCTAATCGCCGACCAAAAGCGACCCCGCAAAGCTCCACCGTCCTCACGGGAGGTTTGAGCCCAAAAAGGGGGCTCCTGCGAGTAATTTAATCGATGAACACAGTGACATAATGGAGCTCCCTTAAAAGCAGAGGCCCGGCAGATTCTCGACTCGAAGTTTTTTTTGCTTACCTATGGTAATTCGAGTAGTTGATTCCGAAGATCTACCTTGAAGAGCACGAAAATGGCGAAAACCGCCATTTCCCAAGGCCTCCCATTTTGAATTTGGACGAGTGGAGCACGTCCCGCCATGGTTAGAGAGGCAGAATCGTTGCAGTTATAGTATTGCGGCATGCCTTCTCTGATGGGTCAGGGAGAATCGCAAGCTCGTCCGCGCGTATTAAAATGGCTTGCGCGTAATGAGGTTTTCTAGGCAAAGGCAGCATGCTGTGCGCTCGCACCTGCTCTGTTCCCATGTTTGGAATGCGAACAACCTACCACGTCAAAACTTCGAGATATTCGGTTTTGGCAAGCTGCTGCTTTTAATCGTGGAAGGGTAAGGCACTGGTAAGGCAGCGCCAGTGAGGATAAACTTTGAAAGGCGATCTAGGCTGCCGAAAACGAAACGGACAATGATGACGATCTGTACTTACAATTCACGGATCGCATCGGACGCATCCATCGAAGATCTCTTGATGCAAGCAAAGAAGATCACGTACGACGTCATCGGACCGACCGA